CACCAGAGGATTCGGTCTCCGACCCACGTCATACGACGAGGAGTTCGAGACGAGCAACAACTTGCTCACGGCCAAGCATGTTGATGACATCAATATGGCCCGTACTGAGGACACCATTGACAAGTATGCCAAATGCGTTGACTATACCTTTGGTAAGTGTAAACTCGACAAGCACACATATACAAACTGCGCTGTGATATACACCATGGACGAGGACGGCAATGTCAGTTTGGATCAATATGAATATACCAAACAGCTCCGTCCTATACAACATCCCGAACTGACCGGCGCCGACGCTGACGCTCAGGCAACCAAGATGGTTGCAGACATGTTCGTCAGCCTCAGGGGTGCGCTGGCATATGCATTAATCACCCAGGTGTGGTTGATGGCGTATGTTGCATCTTCACAACGCGTCCAAGAACCGACCAACATTCAAGCGCGACGACTGAGCGCGATCACCAGGAAGCTACAGGCCTGCCCGAAGAAGATCGTTTACATTGACGCCTCTTAAAGTTAGCCAGCTTTGTTTGAGAGCACGTGGGGACCTTGAAAGCGGGGGCAGGCGGAGCTGGAGCGACAACCCTACTGAACACCAACGGCCTGCCATGCAGAAACACGAATATCCAACACAGCAGCAGAAGGCACAGAAGCAAGTGCCGCCAGCGAGCCTAGAGGGGGAGGTCCCCCCGAAAGGTGTTCAAGAGGCGAGCCCGAGCCACCTTGGGCCCAAGTCCAGAGCGGTGCCTGACCTGGCCTCAGGCCTAGCAGGGCCCGCGATAAAACTCGGAAACGCATCAGTCCCTGGGATTTAGCCCCCAGGGTGGGAGCGGTGGGGCCGAAACTGCAGCCAAACAATAGTAATGACATGCAACAATGGATGCAATGAAGGCGGCTGGATACATTGACGATGCGACTGTAAAAGTGTGTTTGTAAAACGCGCATTTACATTGACGGCTCTTAAAAGTTAGCCAGCTTTGTTTGAGAGCACGTGGGGGCCTTGAAAGTGGGGGCAGGCGGAGCTGGAGCGATTACCCTACTGAACACCAACGGCCTGCCATGCAGAAGCACGAATATCCAACACAGCAGCAGAAGGCACAGAAGCAAGTGCCGCCAGCGAGCCTAGAGGGGGAGGTCCCCCCGAAAGGTGTTCAAGAGGCGAGCCCGAGCCACCTTGGGCCCAAGTCCAGAGCGGTGCCTGGCCTGGCCTCAGGCCTATCAGGGCCCGCGATAAAACTCGGAAACGCATCGGTCCCAACCCCATCAAATCGAGACTGGCATACATGCCTAAACACCAGCCTTCAGCAGATAAGGGAGGGAGGGAAGGGTTCTTATCTATGTTGTTCTCCAGCCCCCCTGTTTTATGTAAGACCCCCGGCCCAATCTTGCTCTGTCTCCTGTTCAGGAATACAGGTGGGGACAGGGGACACGTCGACACGCCTCCAGGCACGCTCCAGCTATATCAAACGATAATCATAATTATCACTAGCCGCGAGCCACTCTCGTCTTGCGGCTGCGACGGGCTCGGGGCGCTGTACTCGGGCGACCCGTCGTCAGCACCCGCCCGCCATCAAAACAGGGGATCTCCACATGCGCCCCCTGCACCCCCGCCAGCTCCTCCAGCAACTGCTTTGCCAGGGGAGTCTGAGCGGCGGGGGACTCTACGATGAAAGTCATCAGTGCCTCGGCCGGCCTCGCCCAAAAACTGGCGCCCGTCTTCACCTGCTCCTCTGACATCTTCGCGAGCTGGCTGACGAGCATATGCGTCTTCGTGTAGCGTGCCAAGGCCGACGCGGTCTGCCACTTGCCCTTGCGCCTCGCCGCCTCTAGGCAGCCGCCGCCCGCCACGAATGTGGCCGCCCCTGAGTGCCGAATGGCGTGGGGGGGCCCCATGCCGGCGAGGCCCTCGTCCTTGAGCGCCTTGCGCCACTCGCGCCTGAACCTGTCCTGCGAGACGGGGAAGACGAGGTCCTCGCGGGCGCAGCTCCGCAGCAGGGCCCGCGCCACGGCCGCTGTCACTGGCCGCGAGAGTACGACGCCCTGGTTGGCGCCCGTCATGACCTTCTCGCCCCTCTCACGCCTGCCGAGGGTGAAGGCCAGCTGCCCCCCTTGCCCCTCGGAGACGTCCTCGGCCCTGAGCTGGCCCCAGTCTTGCTCCCTGAGCCAGCCGCCCAGTTGCGTGAGCACCGCTGCGCCCTCGATGAGCCCCCCCGTGCGGAACATCCTGCTGATGACCAGCCCGACCGCCCCCATGGGAACAGGAGCGCCTTCCCCCAATTCGCCGAGCCGTGCCCACGCCTTCAAAGCTCTCGCCGCCGTGGGCAGACGGTCCCGGTGGTCCTGGAAGACGCGCATGAACCCGTTGAACAGGCTATTGCCTCGGCCGAACCCGAGCCGGCGCACGTAGCACATGTCCGAAATGTAGTCTGCCAACGCCTGGTCCCTGGCCTCGTAAGTGGTGAAGTCCAGCTGGTTCCTCTTGACGTCCACCAGGAACTCGCGCACCGCCTTCTGGTAGACCAGGTTCGTCGCGTCATCCACGGCGTGGATGACCAGGCGGTTCGTGCAGCGCAGCTTGTCATGCTGCGCCTCCTCCCACGCCCGCGCCCCCTTCTTTGCCAGGGGCGGCTGCGCGCTCGCTCCTCGTGGTCTGGCAGCCCTTGGACTCGGACTGTCCTGGTCGCCCACGGCACCTCCTCGCGTCACCAGCGTAGCAAAGACTACAAATGCACTGACCCAGCGGCTGGGCCTTGAGGGCCTCGATGCTGATGCAAAAGTCGCTGCAGCCTCTGAGGCGCCCCCCGAGCAACGTGCAACTTGACCGTCTCCTCCGCCGCGCCGATGGGCAGCCCCTTCGAGGGCCCGTCCGCCAGGTTCAGCTCCGACGGCACCCAGCGGTAGTAGCCTCTGATCCTGCACACCATCTGGATGATCACCGCGATGCGGCACAGGTGCAGGACGTCCTTCGCCGAAGAGCGCCCCTTCTGCAGCGCCCCCAGCGACGCCAACGAGTCCGTGAAGATCAGGATCCTGTGCCCCCATGCCTGCGAGGTCCTGCTCAGGTGCCTCAGCGTGGCCACCACCGTCCGCAGCTCCAGGATGTTGTTGTGCTCCTGGTGCCCCCACTTCCCGCAGAAGAGGACGTGCCAGTGGTGCTCCAGCCACGCGGGCCTGAGAGGCATGGTCGTCCCCGTCGCCTCGGCGATCTGGGCCCTGCCTCCTCGCAGCCTCAGCCGGGCCCCCACTGGTATCGCCCCCCACGCAGGCTCGAGCTCCTTCATGATCTCGGCGTAGCACCTGCAGAGCTCGAGTGGGCACGCGCATGCCAGCTGTGTCCACCTGAGCCCACATGGCTTGAGCGGCCCCGGGGAACGCGGAGAAATCATTTGCGTGGGACACGCCCGTGGAATTGCCCACGAACAATTCGGAAAATACGGACAACAAATTCAGCATTTTCCTGATAATTCCCACATATTATTTTTCCCGCCCAAATATTCTGGCGCCCAATCCATCTTAGTATTTTTTTGCAGGGTCATTAGGATACGTGACACGAGAACGGCATTCAAACTTGATTTTTTCCGCGGCGTGCTTCGATGGGGCTCAGGAGTGGCACAGGGGCGCCCTCTTCTTGCCCCCCCCCCTCCCCTGCGCCTCCGCCTCGTCCTCCCCTTCCGCTCGTGCTCCCGCTCCTTCTTCTACTCCTTCTGTTCGCGCTTCTACTCGTCTACTCTTGCTGTTATTGCTGTTCCGTCTCCCCCTCCTCCTCCTCGCCCTCCTTCTCCTCCTCCTCCTTCTCTTGTTCCTCCCCTTCCTCCAGTTCCCCCGCCCCTTTCGTCCTCTGCCCCCTCCATCATTAGCAGCAGCAGCAGCAGCAGCAGGAGTGACCTCTGGCGCGGGCACGGATGGGTCCTCATGTGGCCGAGAAACGAAGCGGTAGCAGCGGCTTGCGCGCCCCGGCTTGGTCCCCCCGCGGCCCCCCCCAAAAAGCCGCGCACCAAAGGCCATTCTTACCCAGGGTCACTCTTGCGCGTAGCCGAGAAGAGAATCGGCGGCGAGCGAGGGGGGGAGTGGGAAGGAGAAGGTCTTCTCAGAGGGCGGTGGGGCTCCTCGGAAGCCCTCCGAGGCCTTCTGAGAAGTTGTGCTTTATCTTCGTGAAAGGCCTGGGGAACTTTCCAGATGGCTGGGGGGCCTCCGAGCCTTCTGAGAAGGCCTTCTCCCTCTCGTTTCCCCCCCTCGCTCGCCGCCGAGAGGAGGAGCGGGGGAGGGGCGACTCGTCGACCTGTTTCGCATCTCTGGGCCCGTCCTGGAGGAGGAGGAGGAGGAGGAAGAGGAGGAGGAGGAAGAGGAAGTCAGGAGAAGGAGGAGGAGGAGGAGGAGGAGGAGGAGGAGAAGGAGGAGCAGGAGGAGGAGAAGGAGGAGGCGGAGGAGGAGGAGGAGGGAGGAGAGAGGGAGGAGGAGGGATGGGGGGCGGAGGAGGGGGAGGAGGGGGGGGGGGGACTCAGAGGATGAGGAGAGCGCCAGGTGGAGGATAAGGAGAGGAGAGCGCCAGGTGGAGGAGGAGGAGGTGATGAGGACTCAGAGGATGAGGGCGTGATCCCATGGGAAGCGTGCTCCACGGTCCTCTTCCCCTTCATCTCGCCCGCCTCCGCATCCTCCTCCTCGTACTCGGCCTCCTGCTTCCCCCCCTTCCGCCTCCTTCTCCCCGTCCTCGTACCTCTCTACCGCCTCCTCCTTCTACTCCTGCGCGCCATGCTGCTGCTGCTGCATATCCTGGCCCTGCGCTTCCGCATGCTGTTCGTGCTCCTCTTTTTTTTCATTGCTGCTGCTTCTGCTGCTCCTGCTGCTCCTCTCCCTGCTCTCCTGCTGCTGCAGGGCTGTTTAGCCCAGATGTCAATGTTGGACTTGGCCCGCGCGGGGGGCGGCCGCGTCCACCTCGCCCCCCTTTTGGGCGCAGCGGCGCATGACTTAGCGGACGATGACGCGGCCGCGTTTGCGGCCGCCAGGCGCGCGCGGCCGCGCTTGCGGCCGCGCTATGTCCCCGCCCCCCGGACGGGGGCTGCCCTCAGCAAGGGCTACGACGGCCTCGTGGCATGCCGCGACAAGAGGCCACGCCACGGGATGAGGAGGAGCGGTTTAGGAGGAAGTAGGCCAGGGCGGGACGGGCCAGACCTTGAGCGTAGGAGGAGGAGGAGGAGGACCTTGAGCGTAGGAGGAGGAGCGGGACGGGCCAGACCTTGAGCCCCATGTCGTCGCCGTCCGATGGAGGCAACTTCGCGTTGGCGACCGCGCTGTTCCACGGCAGCAGCTGGCGCTGGTGCAGAGCAGAGCGCTCAGGAAGATGCGCGCCGAGAACGGCGGCCGGCTGCGCCAGCAGCACGAGTGGCATTTGCAGCTCTGCCAAGCAGCCGCGCACCGCGGCCTCAAGCATGGCGGCCGACCGCGCGGCGGGAAGGTCGCTCGGAAGAGAATCTTCCTCCGCGCCACCCTTCGCCCCAGCGCACCTCTCCTTCTCGCCCCTGCCCGCCTCCCCTCGCGCCCTGGCCCGCGCCCGTCTTTCTTCGCAACCCTCGCATCGTCGTCGTCGGTGTTGTACCCCGCCTGCCCCCCCCCCCCCCCCCCTCTCGAGCCCTGGCGGGTTGGGTGCCATGCCCCCCCTCTCGAGTCCTCTCGAGTCCTGGCGCCTGCCCTCCCTCCCCCCTGCCCAGGTTGCCATGGGAAAGACCAGGCGGTCGCTGGAGCTGTGCGCTGCTGTTGCCCGCGTTACCCAGCGGGCGCTGGGCAAGCGCATCCGTTCGTGGTCGCAGGACCCGGGGGAGGAGGAAGAGGAGGAGGAGGTAGAGGAGGAGGTAGAGGAGGAGGAAGAGGAGGTAGGGAGGAGGTAGGGGGCGCTCGTCTGAGAGCCGCGGCGGACGGGGCCCATTCGGAGGAGGTGAGCCCGCCGACGGATGGGGAGGAGGGGAGGTAGATGAGCAGGCGGAGTTGGTCGTTCGGTGGGCGAGCCCGCAGGGCGCAGGGCGGGCGCAGGCATGGGAGGGGGGGGGGGCGGCCGGCCCATGCAGACACGACAGCAGGGGGAGGAAGCGGCGGGGCCAGTAGGTGGAGCCGCGATGGGGCGACGACGCCCCCCCCCCCACCACCACCACACACACAGACACAGACACAGACACAGACACACGCACACACACATACACATACACACACATACACATACACATACACACACACACACCCACACCCACACACATGCGCACGCAACACAACACACGCACGCACGCACGCACGCACGCGCGCACAACAAACACACACACAGACACACACACCACACACGCACACACACACAACACGCCGCACGCACACACGCACGCACACACACACACACACACACACACACACACACACACACACACACACACACACACAACACACACACACACACACACACACACACACACACACACACACACACACACACACACACACACACACACACACACACACACACACACACACACACACACACACACACACAACACACCACACACACACACACACACGCCCCCCTCCCCCCCCCCCCCCCACCCACCCACCTCCCACCCCCGCAAAGGAGGCGCGCGTCGACGGCATGGTCTTGAGCAGAGGCTTCGACTGCACGCCGTGGCGTGTGAGGTTCGGGGGCCTGCAGTTCGAAGTGGCGCCGCATGCGAGGTACCTGGTCAAGGACCGCGGCTGGGATCTCAGGCGGCGGTGGGAGGAGGCGGGCAAGAGGCGGAGCGGATGGAGGAGGCGGAGGGGGAGGGCGAGGAGATGCAGGGGGAGGAGGGCATGGAGAGGATGAGATGGAGGAGGTGGAGAGGAGGAGGCGGACGAGGGGGGGGAGGCGACGGAGGATGAGATGGAGGTGGCGATGGGGGCGGAGGAGGAGGACGACGATGAGGAGGAGGAGGGGGCGGAGGCGGAGGAGGAGCAGGAGGAGGAGGAGGAGGAGGAGGAGGCGGAGGCGATTCGCTCCCCCATGACCCTTCCGCCGTCGGCCCTGAGGACGCGGAGACTGGCAGGTGGGAGAGCATCAGCGCCAAGGAGTACGTCGACAGGGGCATTGGGCGTGCCTTACCTGGTAGGGGGTCAGTCGAACTATTGGGCATGAAGATGCACCTGTCGCTCGTTGACTCGGACCCCGGGGGGCAGGGGGGGGCGATCGACGGCGACGAGGGCGATCATCTTGATTATAATAGCCACGAGGAAAACGTGGAGGTGGACGCTGGAGATGCGAGGGGCACCAAGAGGGCAAGGGAGAGCGCGAGAGAGGGAGAGACTTACCCTCCCCCCCGTCCCCCTCCGCTTCTTTGTCTTTCTCGCCCTTCCCCCCCCCCATTCCCCCCCCCACACCCCCCCCCCCCCCCACCCCCCCCACCCACGCACGCACACACACGCGCACACACAACACACACACACACACACAACACACACATACACACACACGCACACACACACACCCTGTCCGTGCTCCTGTTCTACCCGCCCCCCCCCCCCCCTCCCCGCCGACCTCCTCTTTGGGTTGACCTCCCTTCTCGTCTGCAACCTCTCCCCCCAGCGACGCACTGTCTCCTTGGGCCTGCCTGTGCCCCCCCCCGCCACTCGCGCCCAGCTGCCCGGTCAGGATGGGTTCGAGCAGCGCGTGGATGCGCCCACTCCACCGTGCTTCCTTCAGAACAGCCGCGCGAGCACCATCGTCGAAGGCGTCGAGGCCGCCTTCGACGGGCTCAACACGCATGGCATCAGGGAGCTCGCGCGCACCGTGCCGTACATCTTCTTGAGCCAGGTGCCGGACAATGCGCCAAGCAACGGGCGCGCGTTAGGCTATATCCATGACCAGTTGCAGGACCTCACCACCGTCCTCGAGAACCCATTGGACATTTGTGCTGTCCACGCCGTGCACGCGACCATGGTGCACGCTGTGAACGAGGACACCTGGGGCTTGGGGTTTCAACGAGGGTGCTAGAGGGTGGAGCGGCGGCCCGCGAGGAGGTCGGCGATGCTCGATGCTGTCGACGACGCCGACGGCGGTGGTGCCCAGCTTCCCCTTCCCTGCTTCGCTCGGGCCCGTCTGTCGAGGGGCAGGAAGCGGGGCGCGCAGTCTTAGGAGGGCACCTTAGGCGCGAGGGGGGCTGATCACGAAACCAGCAGAGGGTCGAGCAGGTCGAGCTACGGAGGAGGGGGCGGATGGGCCGAGACATGATGAGGATGAGTTCGATAGCAGTAGCGCCGCCACATTGCACGCGCCCAGGAATCCCTGATTGGTGACGTGCACGCACTGACGGTGGTCCACAGGTCCGTTGGCCATCACAACGCAGTGGCCATGGCCCTTGGCAGTCTCCTGCTAGATCCAGAGGTATTCGAATACAACACCTTGGACTTGCCAGACCCGCGCTGGGCACAACACTTGGATGAGCTCATGTGGTTCAGCGTGGGGAAGGACGTGCGCGGAAGCACCGACAATGCTGGCGCAGCGGCGAGTGAGCCGCAGGACGTTTGGCACTGTCAGAACATAGGGGGAGGAGAGGATGCTGGGGACGGCTAGCAGCACGGAGCGGTATGATGAGGAGGTGACTAGGTGGACCCAACCGCGGATGATGTAGGAGTGGTGGTGCTAGTCGATGCCTCCTCCTCCTCCTCCTCCTCCCTCTCCTCTGCCCCTGCCTCCTCCTCCCTCTCCCTCTCCTCCTCCTCCTCCTCCCTCTCCCTCTCCTCCTCCTCCTCCCTCTCCCTGCCCCTGCCTCCTCCTCCTCCCTCTCCTCCCCCCTCCCTCTCCTCCTCCTCCCTCTCCCTCTCCTCCTCCACATCTCCACCCGCGCCCCTGTGCCCTTCTTCCCCGCTCCTCGTCTCACGAGAACCCCCCCCCCCCCTCCGTAGGGTTACCAGTGCCGATGTGGCGTGCATGGTTTTGCCCCCCTAAGAACATCGAGCAGATCAGACGCAAGATCGCGAAGCTGAGGCAGTTCATTAACGGCGATGTTCGCTCTGGGCGGATTATCCATTACGAGCGCGCTTGTGGACGCTGCGCGTCTGCTGCCGCAGCAGCGGAGAACACTCTGTGCGCGCTGCTGGAAGCAGGGGTGTTGCTCCCGGCGGGTTGCACGGAGCCGAGCAAAAACAGGTGGGGTCACATGGGCGAGAGCATGGCGCAGCAGGCGACACGGCGAGGAGAAAGAGGGCACGGAGGCTGTGGAGGACGACGGGGAGGCTGTTGAGGAGGACTAGGAGACTGAGGCGACGGATGAGGATGCTGAGGTTGAGGGCGAGGAGGCTGAGGAGGAGAACGCGGAGGCTGAGGAGGGGGGCGAGGAGGCTGAGGAGGAGGACGATGAGGCTGAGCTGGAGCGCAGGGCGGCCGGGGAGGAGGACGTGGAGGCTGAGGGGGGGGGGAGGGGGGAGGTTGAGACGCTGGCGGCCCAGGGGGAGGAGGCTGAGGAGATGGGGGAGGCTGTTCCGTTTCCTGAGTCAGGCGCCTGGCATCATGGTGCACGACTTGGCCGCGCGGTCGCTCCTGCGCGCCTTCCCCAAGTGGGAGAGGATCGCTGCCGCGCATGACCAGGACTGCGCCGCCCCTTTGGCGGATGGGGGCATGGGCAGGAGAGTCGGGGGGGGGGGGGGGATGAGGCGGCGGCGGAGGCGGCGCATATGATCACTGGGTCCACGGAGAGCAGGGGGGGCAGGCGGACGTGCAGGAGGATTGGGGCGAGGAGGAGGAGCCAGATGACAGCTATGCTGACGCGGCAACGCTGTGCTCATTTTCTTCGGATCCATCATCCCTTTGCTGCTGCGTCTGATTGCCCGGCTGACGGTGCACTTGGCGCGCTTCCTTGCACCCCTCCGGCCAGGAAGCAGACAGCGTGGATTACCGCCAGTGCGTGAACAGCAAGGTGCACTGGTCATGCTGCTCGATGCGAGGTTTCTTGTTTAAGGCTCGACTGTTGTCGGCTATGGCTGCGGGTCGGCCGATGCACCGGTTGCGGCAGCGCTTGGAATGGCTTGATGAGCACCGCGCGGGCACCATGGATGTCACGCCCTTGGCCGCCGCGTCGGTTCGGTGATGTTGGGGGCGGCGGATTAGTCAGGCGGCGGTCTGAGGTCAGGGGCGGTGACCAGCGGGGTGTCGGGGGGCACAATGACAGCAGCAGCATCAGGACACTGGGCATATCGAAGCGGAATGGCGGAGGTAAGCAAAGATACCACACGAGCTTGAGTATAACAAAGAGGATCAGAGGCGAGGGTCATAATCAGGATGCCACAGAGCACCGCGAGGCGTCTCGTCTCGCTTCATCGCGTCGCCTAATCTGATCTTCGCGCCTGTTTGTCTCGCCTGATCGTCTCGCCCGATCGCCTCGCCCGACCCTCCCCCCCACCCCCCCCGTCGCATGCCTAGGTCATTCGTCCTCGCGTCAGTCCCTTCGTCGAGTGCCAGCGCCGGCTCATGGCGATGCTGACGAAGCCAGCGTCTGAGGAGAGCATGGCGTGGTCGGGGCTCCCCATGCTATTCTTCCACTACGCTGGACGGCCCACCGAGCTCGGCATAGTGAAGCAGTGCAGCATGCAGATCTGCGCTTCCGCGCACGCGCAGCTGCACTGGAGGTTCTACATTAATTTGGGAATCGGCAGAGGTAGAACGGGGCGGCGGTGTCGGGCGTGACTCGGGTGGCGGCGGGGCATTCAGGAGGAGGAGAGTTTGGCGGGGGCGAGGGCAGACGGGCGATTTATGGACACGATCTCTTGGTGATGCCCCTCCCCCCCAACTGGCCATCCCTCCCACGTGACGACCCTTGCCTCAGTGGCCACGCTGTCGTAGGCCCCTCCATAGCAGTCACCGCGTCCTTGTCCTTCTCTTCTTTCCGACACCTCCACCGCCCCCTGTCCATGCCTCCTCCAACACCCCCCCGCCCCCCCCCCCGCCCCCCTCCCCTCCGCCGCGCTACCCCCCCTCCCCCGAGGTTCCACGACGCGCTTGGGGACTGGCCCTTCCGGCTGTTCAGGATGTCGACGGATGCTTCGACCGAGGACTTCAAGCAGGCTGCTGCTGCGTTCTTCGCCGAGGACAGGTGCTGTCTTGAACCTAAGCTTGCTAGGAAGATGCGCAACTTGTGGTCTACTTCCCAGGATATATTCAGCCTGCGGCTTATACCGCGACCCAGGTAGGTTCCGACACGGTTCGAGAACGTCCAGGGTGTAACGCCAGAGGCGCCTGTGGTGCCCACAAATGGATGGCTGCTTCGCTCGGTCATGGCGACAACTCTTGTACGCCTTGGAAACGTATTGCAGCCGTCGGGGCCCGCTCTTGTTAACCCCGTGAGAGACTCGTGCGTCGGGGGGCCTCGTCGGCCAATGCCCTCCGCTGCGCCTGCGCCTACACCACATTGGCCCCATCGGGGCTCTCTTGCGAACCCCTCGGGATCTCGAGTCGACGTCTCCCCCGCGCGTCTGCGCTACAACCGCCCCGTGCTACACGTGAATTAAACTACAGTGCGTTCACGCTCCCCGCGCTTGTATAAGAGTGGCGGTTGCTGGACGACGCGGCATTTTGGCGAGCGTTTAGATTATTCGGCCGGCGCGGCCTGTTAACCAATATGGACGTTGAGCGCTTGTTTGCTCAGATTCATCGGAGCATACACGTTGGCGATGTCTTCATGGAGCGTGTGAGGGCGAATGGCTTTCTGACGCAGTGCCTCTCACAGCACCTGCGGGCTGGTGGCCCGGACCCACGAGAGGAACACGCTGAGGATATGATGGCGGCTGGCGTCCCGCTGGAGCGGTCTGTCAGGCCCGTCGCCAGGGCGGGACACGCCGCGCCAGGGTGGATGATGTATGTGAACGCAGAGGAAAAGCCGAGCAGCAGCGTGTCTCAACCTCGTGACAAACGACAGCGTGTTCAGGCCCGCACCTTACTGAAGGCAGAGTTTGACAATCTCCCGCAGGAGGAGCAGGACACTTGGAATGCCAAGGCAGCGGAGGCTCACTTCATTAAACGGCAGGCTGCAGCGCGCGAGGCAGCTCTTCCAGAGGTCGAGCCCCTACCGGAGACCTGTGGTCCTACTCCCATGTGCGGCCTCAGTGGTGACGGCCTCCCGCTGAGCCATCAAGCCTTCTTGGCCGCGGCAGAGAGTGACCCCGCAGCCGCTTTCAACCAGTGGGGCCAGCAAGCTCGCAAGGAGTTTCGCGACACAACGTTTGTTAAAGATGCAAACAGGATCCCCCCGAAAAAGAAGATCTCATTGTGGCGCTCGTGTTGGCAACGCCACAGTGGCGTGTGCCAGTCCAAGGATTCGACCATCTACGAGCCGTGCCTGAAGAGCGGTGCGGCCCTCTCGCGGTACCTCTGGGACAAACAGTGGCAGTTCACTTGGGTGCGGGCAGACCTCACGGCTGCCGATCAGCACGATGTTATGGTTGCAGGCGGTTATTTCTGGGTGGCGTATACCCGAGGTGCGAACCCGCTCATGTCGCTATTTCTTGCAGGTGCCCCTGGGAGTGCAACGCACTGTCGCAGACTCGTCCCGTTGCGCTTCTGTCTCCTCTCCCCTCTCCTCCCGCCCCGCCCCTCTCCCTCCTCCCCTCGCCCTTCCGCTCACCCGCCCCCCTCCGTCCCATTCTCCTCCGTTTCCTTTTCCTCATTGCCCGCCTCTTGCCCTTGTCGCCTCTGTCGCCACCCCCGCACCCTTGGGTGCCCCCATCGCTCGATAGTAACTTTGTGTGAAGCCTCCTATCTTTGAGCTCTCCAGAGGCCCCCCCCCCCTCCGCCCGTCTTAGCTTTTAAGAGCCGCCCCGCGCCAGCAGGTGAACCATGCGGACCTGGTGAGTCAGTGCAATTTACTACAGACGGGGACAAGCTAGTGGTCCTTAACCAGGTATCGTTGATGAAGAGACTCTTGGGGGGCGCGGCGCCCACGCCAGGGCAGCAGCTGCTGTTGCGGAAGCTGAGCAGCAAGGTCGCCGAGAGCCCAGACGCCCCCTTAGGCGTGAGCGATATCACGCAGACCCTGGTGCCCGACGTCGTCGTTGACTGCGTGCTTCAGGATCCTCGCATGAGAATCGCCCCCCTATTCGCTTGATACACCCCTTCCCCATGTGCGAGGTTGGGGTGGGGGAATGGCGTTGGGGATGCTCGTGCGAGCACGCGAGTGAGGACGGGCTTGTAGAAGGACGGCGCTAGGTAGGATGGGGGGGGCTTCGAGACGCCCGCGGCGGACGGAGCGGAGGAAAACGGAGGAGGATTTGGAGGGGGGTGGAGGGGGGCAGAGTGTGAAGGAGAAACGCGTGAGGGGTGGGGGGGCACGTTGGAGGAGTAGGGAGAGCGCGAGGAGGATACGGATGATCAGTTTGCCAGCCTTCTCCCTCCAGGGCGCGGTGCCAGAGAAGACGGGCATCGCCGATGAGGATTGCAAGTTCCTCCAGATGTTTGACCCCAGCACCGGCTGCGGTCGGCTCATTGCTCACTTCCACAGCCTCTTCAACGCAACGGATATCGAGGGCACGATTTCGACAGTTGGCAACATCTTGCAGACCCTCCCGCGCGTTGAGGGGCCTGAGTTGGTGCTGGAGAGTAGTGGCGACGACGACCCTGCGGCGCCCGGCGAGGCCGCCGAGGAGCTTCCTGTTGGAGCTGCCGTTGCGGCGGGCGCCTCAGGGGCAGTGGCAGCTGCAGGTCCTGCAGCCGCAGCCGCAGCAGCCGCCCCAGCAGCCTCGCTGGCAGCTGCCCCCCCAGCAGCCGCCCCAGGAGCCGCCCCAGCAGCCGCCTCAGCAGCCGCCGCAGCAGCCGCCGCAGCAGCGGCGCCAGCGGCTGATCCTGCCGCCGGGGGAGAGGCCGCGGCCGCAGCTGCCCCAGCTGCCGCAGCCGACATAGAGGCGGGGCCAGCGGCCGCAGCAGAGGCTGACCCAGCGCCACCGCCCCCGATTCCAGCCCCAGAATGGGGCCGCCGAAGGCGGGGCACACCGTGGGGCGACTTCCAGATCGCACAGATCTGGAGCGGGGACGTCCATATTGGTCGGGGTGCCACCTGCGGTCAGCACCAGAACGCCCTAGACGGCGCAGTTTGCAAGCGTAACATCAAGTACAGAGGTCGCCGTGGGACAGACATTCTGGACGATGCGGGCTGCGTGCGGCAGCTGAAGCGCTGGCTGCTGGCGGGGATGACCATTGATCCCCTCCACCCCTGCGCGCGTGATCTGCATATGCAGGTGCCCATTCGAACGATTGGGCCCCAGCGCATGCCAGAGAATCTTGACAGCCCCCCTTGATGGTCTCTCAATTCGACAGGGGATCGGTGATAGCATGAACTTCCGAGGGGGAGGGGCTCTGACTCGTGAAATTATGACGACGCCGTCTCGTGACGATGTTGATGTTCATGATGGTGATGACGATGGTGATGACGGTTGTGTCTCCGAAGCCTAACCTGCAAGAGTAGAGATATGCATCCGCGCAAGTACCACGGGGGGCTGTCCAGCGCCAGGGGGTAGGTTTTCGACGATGTGGCAGAGCCACAGGTGACGAGCGGATTCGGGCTATCCGTGCTCTTGGCCTGTGCGCTGCTGCGGCAGTGATAAACGCCATTGCAACCCCCTCTTCCTCCCACGTTCCCCCCCCCCCCTCTCCTCCTGTCTCGCTCCGTCTCCTCCGCCTCCGCCTACTCCTGGCCCTTCTCCGCAGCCTCCGTTTCCTCCTCGCGCGCGCCCATCTCAGCGCCTTCTCGTGGTCCTGGCAAGCGACAGTGGTGGAGGGTTGCGGGCGGGGTGGGTGGGCAGCGGGGCGGAAAGTTCGGGCGGGGTCATACGCACGGCCTTTCGCCTACCGCTTGTTCATCCACTGAGCAGACGCTCTACGCGCCACACCCAAGCCAGAGACATCTCCAGGGCTCTGCCGATGTGGTCGCACCGTTGCGCGTGTGACAGGGGGAGACTGATATCTGCTGAAGTAGGTTCCGTTTTGTTTATCTTAAGTACGCGTTATTCCTGGACTCCCCCTATATACTCACACAGGGCATGATATCAGGAGGTCCCTTCGTATCTCAGGGAGCGTGTGTCCCGGGCAACCCGCTTGGTAGTTTACACCATTCCAAATGCCGGGGTTCCGTTTTACTGGTGCGCAGCTGTCTGAGCTCAGACACCATCTTGGAGCTGGGAGTTCAGCTCACAACCTTCGGAATTACCCCGCCCGCGATGAGCAAGCACCCCGAGCTGCCCGCCAGCCAGCCTCCCGCTCTCGCGGCGAAGTCCATCATGGCTTCCCTACGCCGCAATGCTGCGACGGCCCCCTCCGGCAGCGCCGGCTCCGACGGCCCCAGGAAGAAGCCCCAGGCGGCGGCCACCCCCCCAGCCAAAGCCAAGCCGAGGGCCGCCCCCAAGAGCAAGGGCACGGGCGCGGGCAAGGCCAAGAGCAAGGCCGCGCCCTTGCCGCCCGCGCCCTCGGCAGTGGAGCCCTCGCCTGCCACGCACTTGCCGTCCGCTCCCGCGGACGTGGAGCTCTCGCCCCCCTCGAAGCGACGCCGGCGCCACTTCGCCGATGACGTGCAACAGGCTCGGGCTGCAGACTCCGACGACGACGCCGCGACGCAGCCAGGTGCGCCGGTCATCCCAAGCCCACCTGCGCACGCTCCTGGCGACAGTGGGGTGTCTGCCGATGTCGCTCGCCTGGACGAGGAGCTGAGCAGCCTCTGCGCAACCATGCCGGAGCTAGTTATGTCCCCAGAGTAGGGCAGCCTGGACCCAGTTATGGCTTCGGGCCACTTGAGCGTCTCGTCGCCAACGGGCCCCAGTGGTCATGAGCAGCACGCCCTTTCATCGACCTGTGGCGTGGCGTGTGGTGCTGCTGGTTCGCCGGCTGCTGTCATCGCCCCCGATCTGCAGTCTGGCGGCGACGGCTTTGACGCAGCGGCCGCTGCTCCAACGCAGCCAGGTCCAGAGCCGCCCAGCCTGCCCGCTCCCTCGGAAGTCAGTGGTATGGAGCCGCCAACCTACAAGGAGGCGCCATCGCCTGGTGTGCAGCCCGCAGCGGGTGCCCCTGCACCCGCCGCTGCTGCCGCTGGAACGACAGATGCGCAGGTCGCCGACGTGGACGCCACGCTGGAGGACTCGCTGTCTGACTTGCTCGCCGAACATGGCGTCGAGGATGCCGACAGGCTAGCCATCGCCCCTGCCTTGCAGCCTGCCCCCAGGCGGGCGCCTGCTGCGGGCGCTGCCCCGGGGCGATTGGCGCAGGATGCTGCCGCTGAGTTCTACTTCGACGAGGCGAGGGAGCATGCCGATTTCGATGTGAGGGTCTTCGGCCCCGAGGCCGCTCGGCAGATGGCTCAGGGCAATGCCCGCCGCCTGGCCGCCGCCGAGGATCTCGCCACCCCAGCTCAGCTGTCGCCCCCGACGCCGCCACGAGAGCGCATGCCTGCCACCCCGCAGCATGCATCCGACTCACCGGTTACAGTGCCGCAGAAGCGCAGGCAGATGCTGCCGACGTTGGGCCTGCAAACCCCCCGCGCGCTGGCCAAGCAGCCGCGCTTCACGCCACAGTTGAGGGCCGTTCCCGAATCCCCCAGCTCCCACAGCACGGGGTCCATGGTGCCGATGCAGCACTCGCCACTCGCAGCGTCCCCAGCAGCGTCGCCGGGCCCCCGTGGTGGGCCCTCAGGAGCAGCTGTCAAGCTGGGGGCCTGCTCGGATATTGTCCCGACGAGTGGCCCACAGTCCCAGCAGGCGGCGAAGTCGCCGCAGCAGCCGCCGGTGGCAACTGCCCTGGTGCTCCGCGAGGCGCCAAGTCGTGCTGCTGCTGCCGCGTTGTGTCCTCTCTCTGTCCTGCCCCCGCGCACCATCGGCCGCGTCGCCCGACTAATCCCTAGGCGTTGTCGGCTGGCGGTCGGGGTCCCAGGTGGATCCCATGTAGGAGGGGGGCATCGGGCTGCAGCGGCCTTGGCGATCGCCTCCCCGCCCTCTCGCCCTTCTCTTTAGCACCCCGTGCCTGCCTTGGCCGCCCCCCCAGGCGGATCTGGACGTGCAGGCCGTCGGCGACCTCCTCGGCAGCCTCTTCCAGGGCTTGCCCGACGCGGACAGCGACGCTAGCGACGAGGCCCTGTCTTCGCGTCGTCGCCACGTCGGATTGCTGGTCGGGGGGATTGTTTTTTTGGAGGCAGTTTTTGGAGATTCCCGAAAATGTGGCCGCACGAGATGTTCTCGTACGCCTCCCCCCCCCCCAGAAATCACAGGAAATTACACCCCGAGAAATTCCAGAAATTACGATCCTCGTGATGGGGTGCGCTCGTACGATAAATTCTGATTTCCCGTAATAATTTTCGGGGTGCGGCCGCACGAGTTGTACGGGTATCTTCTCGTGCGGTGTATTTTTCGGGAAACCCCACAAAACTACATGAAACGCCAGCTCCCGCCCCCCCGCTAATTCAGACGCCACGCGCCTCCCGCACCCCTGCCGCAGGCCTCGGAGGGCGATGCGAGCATGCCCGGGCCTGATGAGGTCGCCGCCGCGCTTGGGGTGCGGGCTTGTAGCCTCGGCTCGGCGGCAGCAGCTGGGGTGGCTGCAGTAGCAAGGGCGGTGGTGGTTCGAGCAGCGGTGGCAGCGGTGAAGCTGGCGACGGCGTTGGCGGCGGTGGGGTCTCGTCGGTCGTTCTCGGCGACGGCCCCTGGCGGGCTGCGACTGGACAGGGCCCTGGGGTCCATGGGCCCCTGGCGGGCTGCGTCCGCGACGGCCATGGGCCCCTGGGGGCCGGACCGATGGCAATGTCTCGCAGGGCGTCTCAGGGCGCCAGCGGCCTCCGCGTGGCTGCATCAGGAGCGCGTGACACTCACCGCTCAGGGCCCGCCGTCACGTTCTCCCCGCCCTCTGGTCGGACCCTCCTGTGCTCCGACCTGCCCTCCCACTGTCGTTGCTGCGGGCTCAGCACGTGGCGCCCCCGCGCGATATCCCACTCCATCGCGGCCGACCGCGTCTGGCAGCTATGAGCGTGCCGCAGCCTCCCGCGCCTGCGCCCCCAGTGGACGAGGCCGTTGCTGGCAGTGGCTGTGCGCGTATCGAGGACGTCGGCTTAGTGGAGACCGCGCCTCTGGGGGTCCAGATCGAGCCCCACGCGGCGGTTGGCGGGGTCGTGAACCAGCCAGAGACGGACCCATGGCTGCAGCCCACCCCCGTCGACCTTGGAGCTGACCCATGCGTCGCGGACGGCGCGCCGTCTCACCAGAGTTCCGACCCATTCTCGTATGAGACCCAGCCTTCGTCGTTGGAGACCGACGTGCCCTCGCCGCCTGAGGGGCCTGAGCCACCGCCAGGGCTTTACCTGCAGGTGCCGCCGCCGCCGCCCTTGCACCCGCCGACTGAGAGTGCCGACTCCGTTCTGCCATCCCAGGACGTGCTGCCAAGCAAGGCCCCACCACCAGCGCAGCCCTTCAGTCCGATCCACGCCCCGCCGCTCGCTACCATCCACGGCGTTCCAGCAAAGCCACCGCCGGGCGTGTCTGCGAGCGTGTGGCTAGGGAAGCCGCCGCCAGCCACCCGCGCGCCGCGCAGGATGGCGCTCCCGCCACCACCGCCCAAGACGCCTCCCGCGGGCGCGAAGGCCCCGCCCGCGCTGGCTTCACCAGCCCCGCAGCCAAAGCCCAAGCCGCCCCCCGCGGCCTTCCTCGCGGGTGAGCGTTCCGCTCGCGAGCTCGCGCTGGCAGTGCGCGCGCCGCTCGCACCTGTGCCTGAGGGCAGCATGGTGCCGGACCCAGACCCCTATGTTGCCTCGCCCACCGACTCGTCGGATGGGGATGATCCGTCTCCCTTGGCGCATGCGCAGGACCCCTGGGCTCCAGCGCAGAAAGCCCCGCCAGCAGTGCCCCCCCAGAAGGCGCCAGCGCCGATGCTGCCGCCTGTCGTCCACGGACTGCCCCCGCCAGGGGCCGCGCAGCAGGCGGCCTATTGCGGCGGCGCTTCGATATTACTGGCGACGCCGTTGGGGATGGCGTCAGCGATGGGTCGGCGACGATGTTCGCGTCGGGGGCGGGGGGGGGGGACCCGTTAGCGGCGATGTCTCCCGCCAGGCGGCTGGCAGCTCGAGCGCGGGCATCCCGTTCAAGAATCCGCCGGCGAAGCATCCGGCTGGGGCGACTCAGGTGATGCCCTCGCCCTTGCCCTCAGTGCTCCCCCCCTCCTCGCCGTTGGTGCTGCTACTGCTGGTGCTGCTGATGTTGCTGCTGCTGCGTGCGCTGTGGATAGTTGCCTTGGACTCAGTGGGATGCGTTCTGGGCCTCAGTGGGGCCCTGATGTGACCGCTGCCAGACCTTCCCCTCCTCCGTCGCTCCCCCTTCCTTCTCCTCCTCCACCTCCTCCTCCTCCTCCGTGTCACCCCCCCCTCCTCCTCCTCCTCTCCTTCTCCTCCTCCTCCGCCTCCTCCGCCTCTTGCTGCCTTCACCATTTCGTATTGAGCCGCTACCCCTGGCTTCATTCTGCGCCCCTAGCCCTCTTCCTGCTCCTCCTGGTGTTTCTCCCCCTCCACCTCATCCTCCTCGTCCCCGCGACGGTGGCCCACATCCACCATCATCGCGAGATCCCCGCGGTCAACATGGTCTTCGGAGCCATGTGGGCACACAACGCATTCCTCACCTTCAAGCAAAAGCTGGACCTTCTGGTCTCGTAGTCTCCGATTCTTGCGAGAGCGTTCAGGCCAACGCAGACAGCTGGTAGCGCGGTGTCTGTTGCTGGGGAGTGCCCAGCAGCCGACGCCGCGCGGGCAGTCCTTGTCAGCAGGTCTAGCCGCTCTAGCGGCACCGGAGACCGCGCCCCCTCCACCGCCAGGATGGATGGCAGACGTACTACACAGATGATTTCCACGCGGTCTACTTCCACAACACAGTGACAGATACGCAGCAGTGGTACCCGCCCGATGAGGAGAGCGCGGGCACAGGGGGTTCTTGAGCTGACTTTAGTTCTGAGCGCTTTAACAGATAATTGGTGAGCCCCCTTCCACGACGGAGGTTTCACCACCTGGCGTGAATACGAGCTAGCTTAGGCGTGGCATCCGCGCTGCCAGGCAACGCCAGACTTGGGTCGCCTGCAATGTCTTCTCCACCCCGTCTCCATCTGTTTTTTTTGTTCCTCTCTCTCTCTCTCTGTCCCTGCACGATCCGTCTCTGTGCCTGTCCGACGCGTCTCTCGCTCTCTATCCCTCGCTCTCTGCCCCTGTCCCATCCGTCTCTGTGCCCCCCCCCACCACCACCACCACTCTTCTCTGCGCGCCGCTTCCTGCGCGCCCCGGAGCCTCAGGTCTACGCAGGCCAGGTGCAGCGCCGAATCGCCTTCAGGGCGCCCAATCCCACGACGTGGTGACCGCCTCTTTGCCCTGCGGGGCGGTGAAAAAAAGATGGTGCAGAGGAAGCGGAGCGCAGAGAAGAGTGGTGGTGGTGGTGGTGGGGGGGGGGGCACTGTCGTGCCACCGTGTGCAGCATGTGGCAGGTGTTCCGAAGTTACGCTGGCATGTGCAATGTCTTGCTTGCGGCTCATGTTTGCGCATGGGAGGACTCTGCAGCTGTGGCGCGGCCACGGCCGCTTGAGGCCGTCATGGACCGATGTCGGTCGGTCCGCCAGTGCTCATGGCCCTTGGGGGGCTGTCGCCAGGTCCTGCGTTGCCCTTCTGTCGGCGTGGCCCTTGGGGGCCTGTCGCCAGGTCGGAGCGTTGCCCTTCTGTCGGCGTGGCCCTTGGGGGCCTGTCGCCAGGTCCTGGGTTGCCGCGTGTCCACTGGAGGCCTCTGGACACTTGTAAAGACCGCTGGAGGCTATCAGCCCGCCCCCTCCCTTGCCGCCCAGGTCCAAGACGACCCGCTGCAACTGGCCATCAAAGCCATGCACGACAAGATCCCACCTCAGCACTTGCCCTGTCTCCTGGACGGTATCTCCGAGGGTGCCTTCAAGGTTGGGACAGGCTATGTGTATACATCTTCTCCATACCATCTGTCGTCTGTCTTCATAAGCCCACGCTCCCCTCCCGCTGTTTCCGACGCACCCCCATGCCCTCCCCCCCGTCCTGCCCCCCTCCCTCACCCCCCCCGCCCCCCCCCCCCCCCCCCCCACACACACCCCCGACCCCCACCACCCCTCAGTGCATCTGACGCTTCCCAGCCAGGGATGGGGCGGCACGCGTGGGAGTGGGGAATGGCGCCCTACTGGGTCCCTTGGGATGCGTGGGTGGAGGTCGGGCGGGGGGGGGAAGAGTTTGTCTTGCCCAAGCCTCGTGGATATCCACGAAGCCCCCCGCCCGCCCCCGGCTTCGATTGGCTAGAGGCTTCAGCGGGAGCGACGTCTTCGCCAAAATCCTCGAGGCCTTTTCGCGGGAGTGGGAACGCCGCTACCAAAAATCTGTTTCGTTTTGAGTGCATCTTCCAATGCGAGAAGGGCAACTTGCAGCATGCCTTCCTTCGCTCGCAGTTCCCTGGCGTCAAGTATTTGTTTGGAGACATGGCGGAGCCAGCGCCTTAAGCCGCGTTGCTGGGTTCCGCGCCCCCCGTGCCCCTCCGGCAACGCATTTGTTAGATGGCGCTGCGGAGCGACGTCCCGCTTGCATGCGCGCCCCCACCCTCCCCCGTCATTGGCTCGGGCGCTTTCTCTTTTCTCGTCTGGCGTTGACCGTGCGCGCGATCAGGCCTTTGTTCGTCCCATGATCTGCCGTGTCTTCAGGCCATGCATTAAAGTCGGTAGATCGATGCGTGGACGCACCGATCATCTCTGAGACACTCTGTCTGAGACGCATCTAAGGCTCTCCAAGCCGAGGGCCCTGGACCTTAAATATGGGACTCGTGTTGTGGTGCCGCCAGTGGATGTTTTTTTCTGCTGGGTTTACGTGCACGACCAAAAGTGCATTGAACGGGGCTACGAGAGGACAACGTCTGTCACCCATTCAGAGTGGCGAGGGAGAGACAGGCAAGGCTTGGCGCATGACTGCGGACTACATTCAAAAAGCTCGGCCTCGCGTCGTTGTTCTGGAGAACCTCACCGCGCTCATGAATGAGGCAGAGCCGGGGGCGTGCCCCGACAGCATCGCCATCTGCGAGTTCCTGCGCGAGAACGGCTACTCAGCCCGCGCCGCGGCCTCGGGATTAGCTTACTGGCACTGGCGGCACTGGCGTGCGTTGCCGTTCGGGGCCTGACGGCGGCGGCGGGGGGCGACGAGGTCAGGCGCTTGAGGATCGCCCGGGTAAGGATTGTGCTGCCCTGCAGTTTGCCTCGCTTACACTTCCTGACTCCGCCGGCTGCCCCCCCCCCCCCCGCCCTATGCCAGTGCCCATGTTGTTGCATCGGCCCCGCCATCCGTCTCCGCATCCACTTCATCTCAGCCCCCCCCCCCCCCTCCACTCCCCTGCCCTGCCGCAACGTTTAGGCGATGCGTGTGAACGCGCAGGAGTACGGCTCCGTCGTCACGCGCATCCGCATGGCGGTGGTGGCCTTGCTTGATGATTCGGTTGGAGCGGGGCTTGCTGTGGTATCGTCCGTGCTTCCGGCGATCAAGGTCCCACAGCTGCCGCTCGATTCTTTCTTCGATTGGGAGAGCGTTCCCCTCTTTGAGGGTTCCGAGCCCCCCGCGATCAAGAACCTGAAAGGTCTTTCGCAACAACATGGTGAGTACTTCACGGATGCAGGCATCGCTTGCCCTCCTGACCTCACAAACTACGATCCAGAGTTGGCGACTGTGGTGAGCCCGCTGTGCAACGCGCAGATCGAGGCGCGCCCTGCAGCTTCAATGCATTGCACATGTCCTCGCGTCATGCCGGGTTTGGTGCCTCCCGTCGAAACGTCGCAAGACTCCCCCCCCCCCCCCCACCCACCCGTAATGTGATGTGCCCTGTGATGGGCCCAGTGTTGCCGCTTTTTTACTTGGACGCCATTTTGCGAGTCCGCTTGATCGTGAGGGGGGCCAGGGCTAGGGGCCTGGAGGCGACGGGGGGCGGCGGAGAAGGCGCCCGGGGAGGAGACAGATCACGCGCTCCAGCAGGATCAGGATTAGCACTGGAGCGGGGGCGGCCAGGGGACGGCGGAGGAGGCACCTGGGAAAGAGGCAGAGGACGCGCTCGCTCAGGATCAGGAGTTGCACTAGAGGGTGGGGTCAAACTGGTGGGGGGATGCGCTAGCCGAAGAGGAGAGCGAGGAGGGTGCCCCCAGCCCCCCCCCCCTCAGCACAGGTGGCAATCTACGGCCACGAGTGCGACCCCTGGCCAGCAGCTCCAGGGATCATCCAGTGGGCAGATATCAACTTGTCTCTTCGTTTCTCCCTCGGGAGCGATGGCCGCGGAGCCGTGTTCAAGGAAGCGATGCCGACTCTCACTACCAAGTCGGTGCTCATGATGAGGATCATGAAGGCTGACGGCACGCGGCATTGGAGGCGCCGCCGATACCCGTTCTCTCTTACTGCCCATCGTCTCTCGTTGTTTCTGCCCCGCCGCTCCCGTCGTCGGTCGTTGCCACGTCCTTTCGCTGTAGTATTTGATTGCCCTTCTCACCGCTCCGATCATGGTCGATCCCCTCTAGGGCACGGGCATCTCAGCTTCTTTCTTTGATGCGTGTTTCGCCCCAATCGTCCTGCTCCGCTGTCGGCGCCAGGCTGATCACGGGCGAGCTCCTGCTCAGGCTCATCGGCTTCTTTGGTGCCGGGCCCACTGAGGACGGATTGGCGCGCCTCCTTGTGGGGAATGCTTACAGTGGATTTGCGTTTGCCGCGGTTGCTTCGGCTGCTTTCTCGGGGGTCGGGCGGGGTCGCCACCCGTGCATTGGCGACTCGGCGTAGATGGCAATTAGACGAAGGTGGGATCTTTAAGGGGGATTTCGGATTTCAGGTTGATGTTTACGGATGACAGATTGGGTAGCGCACGCGCAACTCTCAGGGGATGGAGTAGATGGGGGGAGGGATGAGGCGGAGGAGGAGAATTGCCCGGACAGTCTACGCTCCCGTTTCCAGCGGCTTGCGTCGGGGGTCTCACCTCCAGGCAGCGTTCCTACCGCGCCGGGCGAATTTGCATCTGATTCGGCCCCGACCCTCTCCCTGATGATCTGGGCGCTGCCCCGCTCATCCATCGAGCTGCGGGTAAGCCGAGGGAGAGGGTCGCCTGTGAAGGCGCGCAGGCAAGCTTCCAGGGCAGAGAGTCGGTCGCGGCTGATTCTTTGGTAAAACCTAATTCCGCACTGTGTGGATGTGTCTCCTCGTCGCCCCCTCCGCACCTCCCTCCGTGCCCCCCTCCCCCCCCCGCCCCTCGCTGCCTCCATCCTTCCCTTGTGCCTACCTCGCTCGTCACCCCCCTGCGGCTAGTACTGTCACACGCTTGCTTCCTCGTCCGAGCCTGGAGGAGAGGGGTGGGGCGGCGCAGAAGGAAGCAGGACATTCGCAACGGCGCAACGCACTCCTCCTGCTCATCATGCAATTGCCGCCTATAGTTATCCCATTGCGTCGGGGCCCGCACGCCGCTGAACCACTGCCGCCTGCGGGTCGCGCGTTCAGCTCGGAGGCTCGAGAGCTTCCTGCTGCGGAGGCCGCCCACTAAAGCACCGCGGCCCCGCGCCACCTGGCCCGTCGCCCCGCGGACTCACAGGCCCATGGCAGACACTGGCGCTAACCAGCCTGACCCAGCGGAGACGCCCGACCTTCTCTACGGCCGCGGCGATCCGTCTCGGGCCCGTTACGGGCTGTGGGGCGCTGAGAACGTCGACAAAATCGTGATCTCTTGCACGTTTGAGGCAGGCGTGCAAGTTGAGGTCACATGTTCCTCTCTATCGCCCTACCCCAACTCCCCGCAACCTCCCCGCCCAACTCCCCGCCTCTCCGCGCGTGCTAGGTCATCCCGGACGGCAGGCTGCGCGGATTATGCGGCCGCCGCGACACCGAGCAGGACCACGTCTTCAATGGTGAGTGCTTGCACTGGGGGTTCAAGCCAATGAACAAGAAGAACCGCGGCTCGTTCTGCTTCTACTGTGTGCGGACGCACGCAGGCTTCTGGGCATGGCGCGTCTGCTGCTGCTTGTCTCCAGCCCCCCCGCCTCCCCAGCATCGACGTCCTCCTCCTCCTACGTCGTAGTTCTCCTCAGTGTCCTGCTTTTCTCCCGGCCGTCCTCCTCTGTCTCCTCTGCGTGCTAGCCGAGCGCCTCCGCCCCGTCCCCCCCCCCAGCCCCTCCGCCTCATTCTTCATGTCCTCCTCCTCCTCCTCCGCCCCCTCCGCCTCCTCCGCCTCCTCCGCCATGTCCGCCTCCTCCTCCTCCTCCTCCTCCGTAGCCATTTTGGCTCAAGCCATTTTGGCTCAAGGCTAAGGCTCAAGGCTAAAGGCTAAGGCTAGGGCCTGCCGGGGGGTCGGCCGCGGGGGGGGCGCGGCCGCCATTGCTGCCTTCGCCTTCGTTGAGGTCAGCGAGATTGGTTCAATTTGGGTTCAATCAGTGGGATTTAGCAGTGGGATTTATCCTCATTGGTGGGAATTCGCGAATTTGTTGGGTTGTGTCAACTTGGCGATTCATTCCATATTGAAGTTGGGATAACTGGGATATAAGTACACATTTTAGCCATGCCGCCCTTGCAGATTGGGGAAACCATGCAAAAGCTTTTGTCTTTAGATATCGACAAGCAGAAAAGATTGAGAGACGACGCTCGGACGGCAGATGAAGATAAAGAAAACCAGCAAGAAGCCTCGAAAGCTATGAGAACTTTGGCCGCCAAGGGCTCAGCGAAAGGTACGGGCCTGGGAGAGAATGGGACAAGTTCTCCAGGGGTTGTCCCAACTGCCACAGGGACAGACGGCTTTTTGGTGCAACTCGAGTCGCTCCTTGACAAAAAGATCGCTCCCATTAAGGATCGTATCGACTCACTACAACTTGATGTTCTGGGAACCCAAAAGGCCTTGGCTCAGGAATTCTCGGTTGCCGTCACCCTGATCAACGATCATGAGGTGAAGCTTGCCAACCTTGAGGCAGGTGAGACGGAGGTGCAGAAAGCCTTCAACGAAAGGATTCTGGCGGTCGAACTAGAGCAGAAGGCTCTGCGCGCTGAAATGGCGGCAAAACAACTGGAGAGCCAGTCAAGCCAGGGTCCATCCAGGAAAAAGGGTCCGCCTTGGGCCAGCACCCCAAGAGCAGACAGAGACATCTTCATCCTCACTAACTTGGGTTGGAATCTCAAAAAGCAGGACGCTCTGGAAAAGGCGCGAGCGGTCTTGCGCCGAGCAGATGTTCCCCAGCCCACGCATATTGTTGCTCCTTTTGGATATGGGAGCTGCGTTGAGATCAAGTGGAGTTCGGTATCGGTGGGACTTCAAGCGGCAGCCACGATCCGTGATCTCAAGATTCCTGGGTACTTAGAAAATTCGATCTGGTGTGGACAAATCAGTACCAAGGAGGAGCGGGGCCCAGCAAAATTATTCAAGACAATTTCTAGTGCACTGGAAAAGGCAATGGGAGATCGTTCAGAAGACAGTTACGTGATTTGCTCACGGACCCGAAAATTTTTTGTCTTAGATCATCAGATTGGTGTTATCAAGGATGGGGAATTTCTGTGGCACGAGTCTTTTAAGGAAATCCCCGACGAAGCGCTCCGCAAGACGCTGAAGGACACCATTGACGAGGCACTCTCTCTTTGAGACGCCTATGTGAGGGGCCTTGTTTGTGCACTCAACGTGCAAGGCAAGTGGGCAGACGAGACCCTAATGCAAGCCAACCTAGATCTGCTCGAGCTGAAGTGCTGGGGCTTAATTTGTATCATAGAGGCGGATTTCAAAGGCTGCCTTCAAAACGATGGGCTTCTTCGCCCCGTTTTCAACGGCCACGCTTACTACCGTCATCATCCTGGCCCTGGGTGTAGGGCCATGGGCGTGCTTGTGCACAAATCTCTGAGAAAACGTGTGAAAGACATTGTCTGCGATTGGAGATCCATCCGCGTTGATCTTCGTCCTGACTGTCTCGATGGATGCCACCATCATGCCAGATCCTTTCTCTTCTCTCATCTTGCCCATGATTTTTTCCATGATTCTCTCAACTGCGCCATCCAACTCGGTCGATCCCGCCCTGTCGGGTCCACTCTCTCCTGGTTGGGGGACATGAACGCAGATCAAGGCAACGGAGACCAAAAATTTCGGTCGTTCTGCGAAGCCTGCTCCTACCTCGACCTCCATTGGTGCCCTCTCAGGTTTCAGGAGACTCCATGCAATTCACAAGGAAGCCCGACGGTGAACAGGCGATCTCCCAAGCCAACAGCACGATCGACCACATTGCTCTTGCCAGGGGCGATCTATCTTCCGACTGCTTCGCCTGCTGGGCGGGCGTCCCTGGGGACCATGCCCTCATCGGATGTGATATCCTGGCCTTTCCTCAGCGGGCCCTTAAGAGAAGGCCGCTCCTTTGGACCCCTACAAACATTTTGGAGGTCAGGAAGATCGCCCAGGGTCTTTTTCCCGAATCAGCGGAACTTACTCGTCTAAATGATGAAGAACAGCCTGATTCATGTGCGGTAAGGTATCACGATCCCAGGGACCTTACTCTCTCCTTCGATTTCTGGGAAAACATGTTGGGACAGGTGTATGAAGCGACTCAGGCCCTCCCTAGGAGCTTTAGGAGATTTGCTGAAGAGCCATTTTGGGTCAAGAGTCTCAGGACACGGTTCAACTCCGAACTTAACGAAGCTTCGAGGGTCGCCTTGGGTCAGCTCCTCTTGAAAGCACTCAAGATAACGAAAGTTCAGCGTGAACTGGCTCAGGTTGCGCTCAACGCCTCTCAAGGAAAACGAGTCTGGGCTTCACGCAAGTCTCTTCTTCCCATTTTGGGTTTCTGCGTTGATCAAGTCAAGATTTTTGAAGTGGATCGCTGTACCACACTGGTTGCGGAAGAATATAGAGAGAGGTGGGGACTCTCAGACTCGGAGCGCCAGGAGGACACTGCCTGGCTTCGATCCTTGGGTTTTTTCAATTTCTACGACGACCCCATCATCCCGTCCTTGCTGGAGGACGCGTTGGACGACATCAAGGCCCCCCGAAAAATTGACACAGAGTTTGCCTGCACGGCTGTCATAAAAGTTTCGGGCTGGTCCCAAAGGCTCACGGGGTGTATACAAGCCTGCTTAGGCGACCCTGAATTCTGGAACGACGTCACACTCGGGGGCCACCTGGGTAACAAGATCAAGGGTTTTGGAACCCCTTCTCAAACTAGAGTTGTTATTCCTCAGCCTGCTATTGCCAAGATTGGGCACGCATATGTGGCGAAGGCCATTCTTCCAGTTCTGGATTCATACACTGACTCCAAAGGTCTCAAGGGCCTGATTTTTGGGCTAAGCAAAGGTGGTCAATTACAAGAGCTCCACACGAGTGTCTACCACATTTTAGAATATGGGCGAGATCACTTCAACAAAGGAATGGTTGGGATTACCGATATCAAAGCTCACCACGATCAGATTCGTTACGGAATGGTTTTACGGAGCTTATTGGGACGGGGAGTCCCTTTTTTCTTAGCAGTGGGCTGCATCAGGCTGCACAGGAACCCTCGAGTTTCCATTTCTCTTCTGGACTCAAACACTGGGATTATCCAAAGAGACCGTGGGTTGATGCAAGGAGCTGGGACAGCATGCATTCTGGCGCGCGTTTCGGTGGAAGATTGCTTCGCCTCCACTTTGGAGAAGATTACACATTCTTCTTTGGGAATCTCCATTCGCTGCGAGCAGTTGGGATTTGACTTCAGGATTGCTCTTCTCAGCTGGTCAGATAACATTTTTATAGTGGCTTCCTCGGAACAGGATCTTGCAACTCTGACCGCCCTAGTAGAGTCGGAGTTATGGAATGAACATCGGCTTAGGCTCAAAGACGATCGGGAAATCCTTCCGGCTTATCCTTACCACTTTCAAGAATACAAGTGGTCTGACCCCTTCGGGAAAACATGGTCTGTGGTACCGGAGGCCAAGGTGCTTGGCCCTGTTCTCACTGCCACTGGCTCCTGCCACGAAGATGTCAAGCGGGGTATCTCGCAGATCAACAAAGCCTTTTGGGCTAACAGTAAATTCTTGATTAACGAGCATATCCCCATGTCTAAACGTCTCTCTAAACTGAACTGCATGGCGGGAGGGATTATACGATCCAGAGGTGCTGCCTGGGTACCCTGTAAGACGACGGCGGACTTGATTACCAAGGCACAGAATCAATGCATCAGGATCATGTTAAAACTCAAAAGGCTCCCAGGGGAATCTCCAGAACAATTTAGTTTACGCAGAAATCGTAAAACCAATGGGTTCAAAGAAGTTTCTTGGGCTATTTTCCATTTGGACTCTGCCATCAGTTGGGTTTCACACATGCAAAGACATCCAGAAGATTTTTCGTCGAGGCTGTTTCAATATTGCAAGCATTGGGTTACTCAGAATCGCTCCTTTGACCACTCTGGTGGCAGCCGTACCCACTCCCGCTCGCATAGGGGGTACGTTTTCAGGTACGATAAGGATGCCTGGACCACCTTATTTTCTCCGCAGGGTTCTAGGGACAAAAAGTTTCGTCTTGGCCTCGCCAAAGAAATGCTCGATTGGGTTCGGCAATCGCTTCACTTTCGCCTTCAGTAGCCATCGGCTCGGTCTGGTGCATCCAGGCACACTTCGGTATCGCACTGCGCCCATTGGGGCTCTTTACTTTCACTACGGACTCCCTTTACTCTCAGGACCTGGATTGGACTGGGAATCAGATTCAGCCAACTATCCCTCTTTTCTTTGGCTTCGACCGCCACGCCTTAGATCGTTGGGCTCGCAATCGCCAGGTCAAGATGGAAGCGAAACCCATTCTCACATCGAACGATAAGAAAATCAAGTTGCAGAAGAAGCTCGAACAGAAGAAGGAGGATCAAGCGAGGTCAGTAGAGTTCAAGAATCAGGAACTCAAAGCCAAGGCATCCTCTAGCGCTGGCCCTCGCGAAGCAAGGATTCTCCCCACCCCACCTCCTGCACCTGTGCGCAGGGGAAATTCGGCCTCTCGGAGCCGTTCGCCGATAGCTAGGAAGATGCAGTACTCAATTGGGTCCAAGAAACAACCGCAGGGCGGCGGGTCTGGGTCAAAGCCCGATTCGGATGATATCCTGCCTGAGACGCAGGACTATCGTGGGGAAACACCTGTCAAACCAGCGGGCGGCACTACTTGGGAAGTGCCGTCTTCGGACTCTCCAGGCTCCAGGAGTTCATCCTCTGGCTCTGAAGCAGAAGTCGACTCGCCTGACCGAAAGTCACAGCCTGTTTCGAAGAGCTGGGAACAAGATAAGAAGCCCTGGATCAGCAAGTTGGGTCCTCCAATTCTGAAGTCACAGTTGGAGTATGATCATTCGGGGTGCCCAATTTTCGCCCCAAAGGGCGGCACTGACCATACCAGCTCAAGGCGCTATATTATGGTTTTCGTTCCTCAGCTCACAGGCCTGAACACTGTCAAGGCAAAGGTCGGAGAGCACTTCCAAATCATTACTGTTCGAGAGCTCACTCCTTTCATCATCGACAATCAAGGTCCACTGATTTCGGAAAGCATCCCAGTTTTGGGTGAGCACGGCTATCTTACCACCAGGGACGTTACGAAGATCCTCTGGCACTTTGGGCTCAACACGTTTCGCTCCAAGGACATTTACTTGTTTAACGCGAGGTTTTACACCAAAGAAGCGTCCATTGGCCCTGAGGTCTGTCCCAAGAAGGAGAGGCTACACGATAAATCTCAGATCTTCGCGGGCAGCTGTATTGTGGCACTCCTCTACGTCAAGGACTCGTATGAAGACGTTGGTGATCTTATAACGGTGGAGACTGGAAACGGTGCCACTGTTAGGTGCCACTTGCTCTGCAAACCTCGTTTCCTGATGTGATCGAGGCAGCTCTGAAGATACAAACCAACTCCTCTTCTCGTTGGGTCATCAGTGTCCTTTTGGTTCAGATCTGGTTCAATTGGGGACGTCAGATTCTTCATCTGTGGGATGAATTAAGTTCTGTTCTTCTCAATTTCCGTCAGGGCCAAAGTAGTGGTGTCTTTCTTGCTTTGCCCACAGCCTTGACGGGCCTTCTCAACTGGGAACCGCCTTTTCCTTAGTTTGACTCGTCATTTCAGTCCAAAATGGGTCAGCTGGGATCGGAAATGTCCTTACCTTGCCAAGTTTATGGCTTTCGTTTCAATACGGGAATGCTTGGGATCATGAGTTTCTCGGGGCATGTGGCCCACAGGTCATCTTGCAAAGTCTGGGTCTGCATCTTTTCTTATTCTTCTCGATTCAACTGACGGGGCTCAGTGGGGTTGTGGTGCACCCTTGGTCCAAGCCCTCGTCGTTTCAAGTTCTTTCTTGGGATAGTTTGGTGGTCTGTCTACCTCTTCACTTCAGTACAAATGGGTTCGGCCTGGGATTGTTAATTCCGCCTTGCTGGCCAGGACTTTGACTGCCGTCCGTTCACTGATAAAGTGCATCTCTTTTCTCCATCACTCCATCTCTCGGCCCCTGTTTTTCTGTTGGCCTGTTTGGCACAATAGCTTTCTGTAGTCATTTTGGTTCAATTAGCATTGCACGTCTAGCCCCGACCTCTTCTCAAGTTTTGGGAACACACTCGTGCTCGCCCCTCAGAGGGTTGTCAGGCCATGGAATTCAAAATCGCTCCAATGCTGTATCTTTGAGGCATGGGCATCAGTTTGCCCACGTGCACTGGCAATCGAAAGTTCCGAGATCGTTCCCTCGAATTCAGGATCGTACTGCCCACGAAGATGTGTCACACTTCACATGTACGAGAAGGGACGCGAATTCGAGATACCTCTGAGACAGCTATGGAATCTCTTTGAGGCCTTTTTCTCTAGTAAGGCTTGCAAAGACCTTATTGGAATCGTGGGAATTGCAGTACGCTCTATGTCTTTTGTACAGATCAAGACAATGTCATACAAGGGCGCCGTGTTCTATGACAACCGATGGTCAGACCCTGGGAATTTCATCTACACTATCTGGTGGAACATTTGGGGCCAAATGGCCAGGTATCTTCAAAGGAGACAACCTACCCGTGCCTCGTACAAGCCCATGGAGGAGCTTCGATCAGTGGCGGGCCGTGTCACCGATGTACAGAGGATGGTCCGAGAGCGGTGGAACAGGGAGCCCGACACCTCCAGGTGGTTAGAGCTCATCGGAGACTTGATGGAGTTAGGCTTGGGAGTGGGGTATGTGGAGCCTGATCGGTTCTGGAACATCATTGAGGGGATTTCTCCCATCATCGGCTCCATTCGGTCTATTCTGATGTTTGCTGATCAACATGGGTCGTTCGCTCGGACTGGGAAGGACCGTCGCCTCTTCCGCGGCCCATGTGCTCCCCACACTAGGAAGTTTGCCGTGGCAATGTTCCACGGAATGCAAGTACACAAATTTAACGTGACGGAATCCTCTGAGGTTTGGGTATCATACCTGATGGCAGCCTCAGAGAACAGGCTCCAATATTAATGGAGCGGGGTTTCGACTCCCCAACGGAATTCACTTTTGGTCTGTTCCAAGACCTCTTTGTGTTCTCTCTCCTTCTTCGCCTCCCGCCTTTGGGATTGGCTGACACCAGGAGATGTCACTTATGCGATTCTATCTGGGACCCGCCTGATCTCTGTGATCGTAGGGACACCGTGGCTTCGCAACAATCCCGCCCTCCTCGGTCTGCCTCTGCTGGGCCCTCTCTCGTTCCTTGCCCCTGTCGCCCCTGCAGTATCGGGCTCAAGATTTCGGTATGCTACTTCCCAAGACGTCCGACCCTCACGTCTACTTTCAGGGGAAACTTTGCAGGTCTAAACGCAAGATTTGCTTCTTATCCAAGCAAGACCTTGAAGCATTCTCTTTCTGCTCCACGTTGCTATTCCAAAGGGCGGTAAAGTTGCCAGCGCGATTCCTTATTCCCTCGGACCTAGGTGGTCCATACCTTACATATGACTGGTGCAAAATTCCGCTCTTCCAAGCGTGCCGGGACAGCGGCTTTAACAGACTGTATGTAAACGCCAGAGGACCCGACGAAAGGGCTCGGAGAGTTCCTTGGAAAGAATTGGCTGATGGTCAGTAGCCGTTTCGCCTCAAACCCTGGCGGTAGTCTTGTACGAAGCGGCTGGGAACATCCATATAAAAGTCAGGGGATGGTCAAACGATGCCTGCCAGCCAAGCTGGAATCCAGGAAGCGTCTCAAGTGGTTTCAAGGTTCAGGTGGGATGTGGAACTACTGCGAAGAAGAAAAGGTCTACACCAAAGTCTGGTACACTGAGTACTATGACACCTGGTTCGATCCCGAATCGGGCTGGCCTTACCCAGTGGTTTGGTACCTTTCGGACTATTGGTGGGATGGAGACTTCTTTGTGGAAAAGTGGCGTTGGAAGTATCCGTGATCACCATTCTGGGGATCTCTCAGTCCTTTTCTCTTGGCGTCTGCGGTGCATGGGCCTGCGGCCTTTGGAGGTCTCCTAGTCTCACTTCAATCCCCTTGCATGTCCTTCAACATCGATAGTGGGCAAAATACAAACCATAAACACCCACTGCATCTCGCGTCGCACTTGCTTGAATTCAATTACCTCACCTGGCTTGGTTCACCTGGAGCGGGTCTTCACAGTTGGGCTCACTCGATTACAGTTATAATTTTGTATGCCTCCATATCTTCTGGGTCACTGCGTGTTTGGGACATTCAGTTCAATGTCTAGTCTTCTTTCATCACTTTTATTGGATTGGGTTATCACTTACGTTTTTTGGGTTTCAAGGGACTCAATGAAAGTTCTCTTCACCTCACTTCCTGATTTGCGCAAGGCAAGCAAGGTATTCGAGTTACTCGAGTTACTGGAGCTACTCAAGTCACTCAAGATATTTCGAACAATCAAGCATTATCCTTCACCTTGTATTGCGTTTCTCATTGCTCACACCTTTACTCAGAGTGGGTGGGTGTTATTCGGTATCCTGGGTTCAATTTAGGATGGGATTTAATCATTCACGATTATTTGAGTATTACAGGTTTCAATCATAATTTCTGTCAGAATTGGACAGTTGGTTTACTCTCTTGATGGCGTTCAATATCATGGGCTTCAATCTTGGGCTGGGATTCTTCTTTGTTCTACCCCTTCTCTCTCGCTCCTCCCCGCTCCTCCCCGCTTCCCTCTTTCTCTACCGTACGCGCTTGGCGTATTGGTGGCTTCTCAGGTTTGTGTTTAGGGAGAACCGACCTTTCAAGGCGCGTCATCATCATCATCCTCCGCCTCCTCCTCCTCCTCCTCCTCCTCCTCCTCCCCCTCTCCCCCCCCCTCCTCCTCCTCCTTCGTCTCCTCCCTCGCCTCCTTCTCTCCTTCTCTCCGCCCCCCCTCTTCGTACTCTGTGCCAGGAGGAGAAGGAGGGGGATGCGACGGGGGTAGATGGGGTGGAGAGGAGGCGCATGATGGGCCTGCAATCTCCCAGCCAGGATTCTACGGAGATCAGCCAGCGACGCAGACGTGCGCCCTGCTGGTTCCAGTCATTGGCAGCAACCGTGAAGTGCGCGAGGAGTTCTTCACTCGCCGACACGAGGCCGTGGCCTACTTCGTGAATGCGAAGGCCACCCGCGGGGTCAGAGTTGCCTGGCGCGAGATCCAAGAGAAGGTCGAGAGCTACAATAAGCACGAGGTGCAGACGAAGCGAGCTCCAGACAGGATACTTCTACTTGCCGATTATCAGGCGTCGCTGGGCGACCCGTACAGCAACGGTAAGGGCCACCAGGTGTGCATGTACAAAGGGCACCAGTGCGTCCGCATCCCTGGGAAGCTGGAGTGGCTGGTCCAAGAAGTGGAGACGCAAGGCGTTAGCAAACGCCGCCTGAACCAGCACTCGGACGACGCCATCTTCGATGGTCAGCTCCAGCGTGGATTTGATGGGTTGGTGTCTAGTCTGACAAGCTTGTTTGCACGGCCATCTGGTGAGGAAGCCCCTAGCATTTTTGCCAAGGCGTCTGCGCCGCCGCAGCCAGCAGGCATCCCGGCTCCGCCAGCTGTCGCTACGCCACAGGGTGGGATGCAGCCCGGCAGCAGCTGCGGCGCGTTTCAGGCCGCGTCCTTCCCAGTGGCCATGCCGCAAGCAGCGCCGCCATCAGCACCCAGCGTGCCTGAGCCAGAGAAAGGCGCCAGGGCCAAAGGCAAGGCTGGGGCGGGTCCTCGGCGCATCCGTCCATCCACCGAGTCTGACTCAGAGGGCGCGAACAGCCGCCGGGGACCTGGCCGCCCGCGCGCGAACAGGCGCCAGGTGCTGCTCACGCACTTGAAGGAGTTTCGCGAGAGCGCCCAGGACGAGAAATACTTCGCCATCGCCAACTTTCGCAGGCAGCTTGAGGGCGCAGCCGCCAATTTCAGCAACACGATCGTGCCTGCTAAGCAAGTGGAGGAGGAGCGCAAAAGCGCAGCTGAGCAGGGTCAGCCAGAACCAGAGCTCCATGCGGACAGCGACGACATCCAGGCGCTGAGGAAGCAGGGCCAGGAGGCGGTCTCCATTGCGAAAGCCTGGGCGAAGAATTCCGAGTTCGACAGAGACTTCGCCAGGTCTTACCGCATGTCCTTGATTTTTTTGTCTACACCTCCTACAGCGGAGGTGCCGCTCCCAGCCTGGATGCTCCAGGAGTTTATCGCTAAACAGGTCGAGGCCCGACGATGCATGAATCAGTTGGCTCTCCTGGATGCGAGTTTCCCCTGGCTGACCACTGCCCCGCTTCCAGGCGACCCATTGTCGCCGCTGATAGGGGTGGGGACTGCGGTCAGTTAGCGTGGAAACCTGCAACCATTGGCGTCCACAGTGTCATGCCACAAGGCTGCGACACCCGACGAGGCTATGTGGTGTCTTTTGAGCCCTGAGAAACTAGCGGAAGCAGTGTACCCAGCGCCAGCGTCGCAGATGGCAATGTGCACTGACATGGTCAAGATGAAGGTTAGCATGATTGCGCAGAGCAAAGCGCAATTCATTTGTCAGGATTTGGTACGGCTGGCGTCGTCTCTACCATCGTGGGCGGATGACAAGGTGAAGGCCGACATGAACGCCTTGAAGGTAGCGCTGGGCTTGCTCGACGAGAATGCTATGCCGCTGGCTACTGAGCTTGAGGTTGCCGGCGAGGCCGTGGAGGCCATCATGAATAATGCGTTGCCGATGGCTGGCTCAGTCGTGCAGTGGCCAGAAGCCAAGAAGCTCTTGCGCGATGCGCAGGTCGCTTTGGCGAGCTTCTCCAAGGGCTATGACCAGTCGAAGCGGATCAGGTCTCTCCTGCAGAAGGCGCTTGACAATGCCCAGCAGGACGCGACGACCCTGGACTTGCGCACCCGCATGGTCAGCACAACGGGCCACATTAAGGGCATATCGGACGTCCTGGCCGAGTCGACGCCGCTGTCAAAGAGGTACTTCGTCACCCCCGAGGTGGAGGACGCGCTGGTGGAGTACAGTGGGATCGCTGGGGGCCTGCTCCTGGACACGTCTAAGGATCGCCCTCTCCCGATGCCCCGTGACATCCGCATTGCATCCCTCCCATGCCTTACTCCAGCTTTCCAATCCGTTGTTCCCATGTTGTCATATCGCCTCTTGCCATGCGCCCAGTCCTCTCCATGAGGAGCTCGTGGACAGGGTTGTCACAGCGATGGGCCGCCCGCTTGAGGAGGCGATTTGGGACAACACCGAGTGGGCTGGTGGGTCGAAGCTTTTGGCTGACTTGACTGGGGCAGTGGACGATATACCGAAGCTGCCCAAGCATGCGCAGAGCGAGCTTGATACTCGGGGGTACTCGGAGACGGCTAAGTTGGTCGATGCGTCACCGGGCGTTGTGAAGATGTTCCACGAGCGCAACGAGACTGGAGCGCTAATTGCACGGGTGCCCGAGTACATGGAGAATGTCCGTAAGGCTCTGGCTGAGAACCTGACGCAATTCTGGGAAGGTCATGCCGTGGCCGAATCGGTCTCTGCCATGCTGGAGAAGTTCGCGACCTCCGAGGCGTTCGCGGATATATCGGGCATGCTGGCCAAGCGCCTCACTGAGCGCATCGAGATGTTCGTCCGCATAGCGAATGGGGCCATCTTTGGCAACTTCCCGAATGACTTGTTCTGGCAGGCCGCCTGGGCCGACTCCCTCTGCACGCCAGATGACATCATCGGGCGGGCGGTCTTGATCTGCGGCTCGGGCTACGGCGTGGCCCTCACGCAGGACGCCGAGGCGGCCTTCCAGGACGCGACTGAAGCCGCGAGGTACTCTGACGAGGTGTTCCGTTGGCACGTGGGGGCGATCATGAACGTAGGCAGGGTGTGGCTTCGTGGTTTCCCATTGATCACGCGCAAGCTTGACTTCGACGCGGACGCCGCCGAGGCGTGGGTCGACGGCAGAGATGCGATGGACAAGCTGGTCTCCATCCTCCGCTCGCACGAAGCAGCCGGCGGCATGACCTTTGCCGACTGGGACTGGGGCGTTAAACCAGTCGGACCATGAGGAGGACGGAATGCATTGGGGAGCAGGCGTACCAGGGCGACGGGGAAAGATGGGAGACGACGAGGAGGATGAGGCGGCGATGGTGGACGCAGTGGACGTGGAGGCGGAGGGGGAGGGGGGGAGGTGGAGGAGAAGACGACGGAGTTGTCCTCCTCCTCCACCTCCACCTCCTGTCTTGCGCGTTATCCGTGTAAAGGGTCCAAGTCACTTAGGCAAACTATTTGAGGAGTGGGGCTTCTCGTACTCCCGCCAGCCTATCCAACAACGAAGCGCATGCCAGGTGATGTGTTGTTGGTGAGAGCTTCTCGGAGGTCTCTTGGGCGCATCTTGAGCTCGCTAGGGGTCCTGTTGGGGATCTCTTGGCGCCCTCATGGGGCCCGCTTGGAAGTCTTTTGGGGTCCTCTCTCAGGAATTCCCAGCGGGGGTCGTCTCCGCCGTCCTTCCCTCGGTCGCCGGCAGTCGCTCAGGACTTCAGGGGCCCGATGTTTGTGCAGAACCTCGAGACCTGCTTCGATGCGAAGGGCAGGTCGGCCTCGGGTCTGTTCGACGGCCTCCCGATCCCCAGGGCCATCCGCGATTCGCTAGTCGCCATGGAGAAGTCGTTGGTGGAGACCCGGTCTCGGTGGATCGCAGGCTTCGAGGCCGCGTGCACCAGCATCGGGGACTGGCAGCCGAATTGGCGCCCCGTGAAGGATGTGCTGCTGGCCAGTCCTCCGCGCCCAATGACGAAGGAGTTGGTCGGAAACAAAATGCTCAAACAGTCGGGCCAGCTGTGCACTGACATGGACGCGCGCCCCAAGCTCTGCCGGCGCGCCCCGACCATCTTCGAGTCAACCGACCTGTCCAAGTGGGAGGCCCGCGTGCTCGAGGGGATGGTCACCATATCCTTCACCTTCACAATCTTCTCCATGAAGTACGCCTTCCCCCAGCTCAAGGGACTCAAAAAGCTCAAGGTTCCCAGGGCTGATAAGGAGGAGGTTGAGAGTCAGACGCGGGAGTCGCGGCTCGGGGGAGGATCCAGGAGTGCAACCTCATAGGTGGAAGCGAGGGCAGAGGATGAATGAGGCGTTTCGGCGTGGACAGGCTGCGCGGACAGGGGGGGGAGGAGTTGCGAAGTAGGATACGAGGATGAGGATAATCATGAGTAGCGGGGTAGGTGCGTGGAGAGGGGTCGGAGAAACCGCAGGAGAACTCGGTGAGCAGGAGACGCATGATGATGATGATTATGATGATGATCCTGATGCTGCTGATTATGATGATGATGATGGCGATGCTGATGATGATGCTGATGACGATGGTGATGCTGATCCTGATCCTGATGATGATGCTGATGATGATGATGATGATGATGATGCTGCGGAGGAGGATGAGGAGGATGAGTTTGGGGGCGGCAGCTGAGGAGGAGGATCATCTCCCCATCCGTCCCCGCCCGCAGATTGCGGCTGACAAGCTCAAGGCCGAGCTCGAGCAGAAGGGCGCGTGGGCGCACGTGCCCACCTGCGTCTCCGCAGCCCTCGCGGGCGGCGGCCAGATCCTAGAGGTGGGCGACGGTGAGGTCCCCTCCGACGCGTTCGGCGCGGCTGCGTGAGGCACCGCCGGCGGGGGAGGGGGCGGGCGACGGCTGCGTGGCCATGTGGGTCGGCCTCAGCCTTGCTGCCCCCCCCCCCCCGTCCTCGCGCCAGCCTCAGCAGGCCGTTGTAGCAGCTGCAGCAGCCGCAGCAGCAGCAGCCGCAGCAGCAGCCGCAGCAACAGCAGCCGCAGCAGCAGCAGCAGCGGCCGCAGCAGATGGCCGCAACAGCAGCAGCAGCAGCCGCACCAGTCGCAGCAGCAGCAGCAGCCGCACCAGTCGCAGCAGCAGCCGCACCAGTCGCGGCAGCCGCACCAGTCGGCTCAGCAGTAGAGGGCGATAGGATAAGGGCCACGGCGGCGATGGTGGATGGGGGTAGTGCGACTGGACCGCCAGCGCACGCCGGCGCGCCGATGGCGAGACTGGAGAAGAGGAGGAGGAGGAGGAGGAAGAGGAGGATGCCTAGAGTGTGGCGCAGAGACTTCCTCTTTGGCACTAGCAGGAGGAGGAGGCGGATGAGGAGGAGGAGGAGGAGGAGGAGGAGGAGAAGGAGGAGGAGGAGGAGGAGGAGGAGGAGGAGGAGGAGGAGGAGGAGAGGGGGCTCGCGTGCTGCCCGCCCCACCACGCCTCTCTTCTCCTCGTGCCGCCCTACTCTTCTCCTCGTCCACGTGCTGCTTCCATTTCCCCTTCCATGACCGTTCTGTCCTTCGTATTGCTCCCAGTTAGTTGATCCATCGCGGCCTGCCGGCCCACGTCCCCGCTCAGGGTCTCGCCGCTGGCAGCCGACGGTCGCGTCGAGTATGTGTTCGGCTAGTTTAGGGTTTCAGTATCATGCTGTATTTTCAATATTTTCCGAATATTTCGTAATTAATTGTTGGGGGCGCTGGAATTATTTATTGGATATGTTTCTATTATTTGTTGGGGAACGGCCCTCTGCGTTCCCCGGGGCCGCTCAACACACGGCGATTTCCCCCTCAGTTCCTGGTGAGGCCCCCGCGTGCGGCTGCAGCAGCGAAAGGTACCTGTACACTTCCTCGCCAGCTTCGTCATCTCCCTCACGCTCGTGACAAACGCGGTGGGCTTCTTCCAGACCTCGCCAAACATGCAGTAGTCCAGCTCCACCCTCCAGACGTCTGCCTTCACCAGCACCTCCACCAGCGGTGGGAACGCCCAAATGTAGCCCCCAGCAGGATTCTCCAAGGTGAAGGGGATCGCCAGCGTCACGCAGGCCCTCAACACTTCCACCGCCACCAGGCACAGCAGGTTGCCCTCCTCGAGCTTGGTCTGACTTGGTCCGTCCAAGGTAGGCAGTCCCCAGATGCACTCGGCTGACCTCAGAGGCGGCACCCGAGCTTTCGAGAGGGTGGCACAAGGCGGCGCTAGGTGAACCCACCAGTACCACCCCTGCCGAAGCCTCCTCAGCAGCAGCTCCAGGTTCTCGCACACCAGCACGTCGTACTCGGCCCCCTCCGAGATGTCCCACGCCTCCCCCCAGGAGTTCGCGAGGTCCTTGACGGCATCCAGCAACCTCGACGACCCCGAGAACAACTCCAGCACCCCCGGGCGGCCAGCCTGGGGTCGGGCCGGAAGATCCTCCTCATCGCACTCGGCCTCCACCGTCCGCTCCACCTCGGTGTGCAAATCCTCCACCAGGGGGCCCCAGAGACCTTCCGTCCCCCGTGCCGCTTCCGCTCTCGCCTCCTCGGGATCGCAGTCGCAGGCCAGGGCTCCGCATCCGCTCTCCGAGGCGTCCGTCATGTACGCACGTGGCCACCAGGGGGCCTCCAGGTCCGCCTCCACGTAGATCGAGAGGCTGACCAGGGCCGCGAGCTCGCTCTTGACGATCTCGGGCAGCCTCCTGGGCACGACCGCTTCCTCCAGCTCCCAGCTCCGAACCCATCTGTAGGTCTCGTCCAGGATGGCGAACGCGGGCCTGAACACCATCATGGTCCACGTCCAGTGGCCCACCAGACTCGACAAGACTGCTGGCTGAGCAGCGTCCTCCGTCAGCAGGGCCTCCGTCGCCAAGACCAGCTCCGCCAACTTCTTCGTCTGGGCCCTCAGGACGTAGGGCCTGGCCGTAGGTATCGTGAGTCCAAGCCCCGCGCTGAGCCCCTCTCCCCAGTCCTCCTTGTGGATCGCGAGGCCCTTGCTGTTCAGGAGCTCCTTCACCTCCTCCTTGTCCTTCGCGAAGTCCTCCTCCTCGCCTGGGCCCCTCAGAGTAAAACCAATGTAATCGTCGATATACAGCATCAGGATGAGCCTCACCGCCACCTCCTCGGCCGTCCCGTCCTCCACCGCCTCGGTCACGCTTGGGGGGAGATCCCCCTGCTGCAACGAAGGTCGAGTGGCTGACGTCGGGCTCCGAAAGCTTGGGGTCGGCTTCCCATAGGTAATACTCGGCGCCCGCAGTGACTCGAAGCTCGCTTCCAGGCAGGCGTGCGCCAAGAAGACCGCCCAGGCCGAGCCCATCACCAGGCTCGCTGCTCCAAGACCGATCTCCGTATCCAAGGGCACTCTGAAGTTCAGGCCCCTCTCCTGCCCGTACTGGTACAGCCCCCGCGGCGACACACCCTCCACGACAAAGAAGTCCGCCAGTTCCGAGCCCCAGCGCAGTCGATAGAACCAATCCGGTACGTCGCCCTGGAATGAGAAGAGCCGCCGCCCATGTAGGATGACCTCGTCCAAGTCCAGCAAAGCCAGACCGGCGGGACTCCCAAGCGGCACCCACGGAGGCTCGTGAAAAAGAACGTTGACCTTGCGGCAGTCCCAGATCAAGCGGCTCTTGAGCACTACCCCTGAGTCGGGGTCGACGTCCTTGGCCACTGTGAAGAGACCGACCTTCTCCCTCACCTCCTTCACGTAGTCGAGCATCCCCGCCTGGTACATGCGCGCCAGGAGCTCCAGCTTCTCGGTCCTGCTCCTCAGCGCCGGGTCCGAGTAGCTCTTCGTCTTCTCTTATCGCCCCCAGTCCACCTCGCCAGTGCTCTTGATCATCAGCTTCTGGCACGAGTCGATATAGCTGCCTGCGCAAGCCGAGAGGTCCTGGACACGAAGAGGCGCCGTACCCGGGGTGGGTAGGGAGACCTGACCAGCTCGAAGGGGGCACAGGTCCCCCTTTTTGTATATTGTCACCTTCTTCTTCTCCATCTCCATCTTCCTTACCGTTGTGAAGTAGCCGCTGCCCGCCGTCTCATCGAGGCGGCCAAGAGCCACCTTGCCGTCGCTGATGGTGCCCCAGCCCGCCCGCGCGGCGTGCCGGTCCCAGATGTCGCTGACGATCCTCTTCTGGAGCGGGCTGCTCGCGGTCCACTTCTCCTTCGCCACCTCCTCCGTCTTCAGTGGCGATGGGGTAAGCCAGCCACTCGCACAGCCCGAAGCCATACTCCTGATCGCCGAAACCGTCCTCCCCACCCTCCTCCACGTAACACGCAGGCTGACAGAACTCAAACCCGCACTTGATCTCCTCGCACTCAGTGGAAGGGGGAGGTCGGGGAGTGATCTCAGCGGATCGCGCTCTCGAGGATCCATTCACGACGCCTGGGAAAGCTCCCACCTGGTGACCTGCACCACGACGCACTGGTTGACTTGCCTGCGGCAGTGGAGCCTCGAACAGGTCGACACCAACCTCTTCAGACTCGAAAATCGCTTGGGCGGGTAGGCCCTCCCAGACACGCTCGATGAACACCCAGCCCAGCAGGCACCCGAGGAACCCGATCGGGATGACGGCCTGAGGCGGGCGGCGAGAGGTCGCCGGCCCCCCCAAGCAGCGTGGTGCGGTGCCTGTAGCACGCTCTTGGCCAGTGGTTACCACGATCGCACCGGCCGCAACCTATTCGCCGTCGGCCCCGCCTGCCCCGCCGCCACCTGCGCTCAGGTGCTTGTTGAGGGTCGCGCGGCGCCTTAACTTCTCCAGGACCTCCTCATCGGCCTTCAGGTTCTCGCTGTCCCGATCTCCGTCCAGCCTCAGGTACTCCTCCGCCAAACTCCAGTCGACCTTGGACTTCCACTTGCCCCCGTTCTGCTGCTTGGGCCTCTGCCAGTCGGCCCTGCACTGGACCCGCTCGTCGGCCTTCCAGATCGAGTAGAGCCGCAAGCAGGTCAGCTCGGACGCCTGGCTATTGATCAGCGCGTCGTGCTCCCCCGAGGTCATCATGCGGTCCAGCACCATGGCCAACATGTTCACCTCGTTCGCCACCGTCGCGCCCTGCAGCTCGTTGCTGCGAAGCCACTCCTGCGTCTCGACGCGGGCCGTCCTACCTCCACGGTAGAGCTTCGCCAGCACCGTCGGCGCGACCCGAGTCCGGACCCCGCCGACCTGACCGCCCACCGCGGGCCGGTACTGCTGCAGCACCGTCAGGAGGCTGTCCTTCGCGTTGGTCGACTCCAACTTCAGCTGCACGATCTGGTCCTTCATGGGATCGTCGAGCTCGGCGCCAATCTTTTCCCACGAGCCGCTGCTCCCACTGCTGCTCACAGGCGTCGCCGAGCCCGTCGTCGCCTTCGCCGAGCCCCTCGCCACGACCCCCTCGTGCTCGTTCAGCTTCCGAATGAACGCGTCGATGTCGCCCCCACTCGGCTCCGACACGGCAGGCGTCCGAGCCCCCTCTGGGGACTCCTCTCGGCGTGTGGCCTGGCGTGCGGGCGCCTGAGCAGGGTGCGGCGTGGGCACCCTAGCCTCGGCCTCCTCGCGCATCCGGTCCTTCAGGTCGACCACCGCTGAGGCCAGCTCCGCCTGACCCCTCGCCAGCTCCGAGAACAAGGCCTTCGCATCGGGTTCCTCATCACTGTCGCTCACATCTCGTCCCCCGATGATGGCCGTCCCGTCGTCGCTGTCGCTCTCGCTGTCCGAGCTGTCACCTCGACCCTCGCTGCCGTAGGCGTAGTACATCCAGATCATGTACCCTGCCACCGCGATCCCACCGACCGTGCAGGCGATCTTCTCCAGGTGCCCGTTCTCGTACATGTCGTTGACCAGCTCCATCACGGACTGCAGGTCCTCGAACGCCTGGAAGCCCGCCTTCACGGTGTGGTAGCCGCCGCTCAGCCACGACCCCAGCTCCAGGTAGCGCCACACGCGCCACCCAAGAAAAGCCGCCGAGCCCCACGCACCAGCGGTGCGGTAGCTCCAGCCGGCCACAGCAGCCGTGCTCACCCCCTTGAACATCCAGCTCGCCATCGCCGTCTTGGAGCTCGACTTCTTCTTCTTCTGGGCCTGCTTCACCTTCTCCGCACGCGCCTCAGCCTCCTTCAACTCCGAGCGAGCTATGAGGCGCTCGGAGGCGATCAGCGCGGCATCCCGCTGCTTCTCGGTGAGGCCAGGGTGCTCCGTCCACGCAATCCCCTGCTTGGGCTTGCTGAGAGCGAACTTCTTGTCACGTGCATTCACCAGCACCACCCGCTGCGTCGGGTCCACCGCCGCCCACAAGGTAGACTTGGCCCCCCCGACCTTGGTGATCAGGAGGAGCACCACCCCCGTCGGCTTCGACTGCGACAGCAGGTACAGGCGGTTCCAGCGCGCCCGCGGCGCCATGTAGCTGGGCCGACTCCCCCTGAACAGATCCTCCACGCCGTCCTGCCCCGCGGGCGCCGAGAAGAGCGGCTCGCTGTCGCCCTCGCCCTCCTCAGCGCTGGCCTCCCACAGGCCCGGCAGCAGCGCCCCCCACTCGCTGGCCACGATCGCCAGCGCCAGGGCCCACCCGACAGGCCCCGCACGCGCCGTGGCGACGCGAGGCCACGCGGCGCGGCGCGCCCGTGGCCGAGGCGGCGCCCGCCGCCCAGGGTGGCCCACGCCCGTGTCGCCGCGGGCTGCGGCGGGCACGGGCCAGCGGCCGCGCTGCAGGCCCGAGCGGGGCCCTGATCGCCCGCGAGCGCGCGGGCGCCTCGAACACCTGAAGGCTGGTGTGCTCGAGGGCAAAGGCGGGCCTGCCCGCCACTCAAACCTCTCGAGCCGAAACTGCAGCCAAACAATAGTAATGACATGCAACAATGGATGCAATGAAGGCGGCTAGATACATTGACGATGCTACTGTAAAAGTGTGTTTGTAAAACGCGCATCCACCAGGCGATGAATCCTACGGGCGAGGTCGACCAACATAGCGACTCAGGATATCGACGCCTGAGTGGAGCCGCCGATGACGACGTCAAAGGCTATGGTATTCGCGGGGCAAACCTGCTACGACGTGGAAACACGTCATCCGGTAAGCCTGCCGTTCACTTGATTGATGCGTACTGCAAGTCTCATCGATTGCAGGTCCGCGCGCGCTATTCAGCAGAGACACTAGCAGCAGCCCATAATTCGGAGGACTGTTATCCCACGATTGTGGCTCTGCACGAACTCCACGCAGGGCCACTCACGCCCACTCAGTTGAAAGATATACTGGAGTTGGGTGGCCTGAGCATCAAGGTCACTTTGACCATCGATGCTGAGTTTGTTTTTAAGTCCTTGTCAAGCAAAGACTTGATTAAGCAGACTGAATGTACCCTCTTAGAGCACATCAGTTGGATACGACAGAAGATGGAGCGTGGAATTGTGCATAGCATTCAGTGGTGTGACACCCGCGATATGACTGCGGATGGCCACGCCAAGGGGGGCATCGACAGATAAATGCTCCTACAAATCATGGAAGGTATACAGACCTTCAGACATGATTTGAAGAGACATACTCCATATCGGGCCAGCCAGACGTCAAGTTCCGACGCCGCCTGATGAGTACGCCACGCGCATACGAGGCAACTCGCGAGCGGGTCCACCTGCCTTTAGGCCCGCTTCCTTTTTTGCCCTTGTGTATGTTAGCTACTATGCCTGCTGTATAAGGGCGACGGGCTCACGCTTCGTTTCCCTCCCCCCCGACTCTAAAGCGAGCTGAGGGACGTAAGGAGTGGAAGCGAGCGTGCGCCGGCGGCCGCGTCGGCCCAAGCGGCCGGCCGCCCAAATATGGCTGCTGCGAGGCACACAATCGCTATCGAGACCAAAAGGATCTTCCTATTGCTTGAGATGGCATCTCCTCTCATACTGGGACTATCGTTGCTACGGTACAACAGAGCGGGAGCTTGGCTTCGCCTGAGGCGAAGCTGCTGGCTTGGCCTTCCACCAGCCCCCTTCAAGCTGCGACGTGGGGATGCCTGGGAGCCTGCTGGAGCTAGTTGCGCGTCTTGTAGCTGTTTGGGGACGGTCTTTATTTGTCTTGGAGCCGTCTGGCAGGTGAGCTGTGCGGTCTTGGGGCTGTCCTGGGGCGATATGGGGGCCGTCTTGGACCCATTTGCGGGCTTATTTACTCTTTCCGAAGGTTCCCCGAGTTCTCCAGAAGTAGAAGAAGAAAGCAACATCAAGTCCCCTCGAGCTTCAGACTTGTCAGATCTTCTAGTCTCGCTGGAGGCCTCTTCGGGAGGCTTTGTGGAGCCTCCTAGTGTATTTTCGAAGATCTTCTAGCACTTGGGAACTCGTTGGTCTTGTAGCCTTTTTGGGAAGGTCTTTGGCTGTCTTGGAACCGTCATGATGACGAAATGTCAGCTTTTTGGGCTGTCTTGGGGCGCTCTTGGGGCCGTCTTGGGCTGCCTTTGGGAGCCTCGAGAGGCTTTCTGAAGCTTTCCCGAGGCGATCTTAGGCCGAAAAGATTCGGAAGGCATATTTCCTGGTAGACGTATCAGTTTTTGTCGTTGCTTTCGAGGCATCGCTGGATGCCACTTCGGGCGTCTCTGTGAGGCTTCTTGAGGCCTCTTGGGAACATGCTATGGTGTCCGGGAGCTCGTTGAGTCGTCGTTGCGCAAGCTTGGGCGTCTTGTGGGCGTTTTGGGGCGGTCTTTCGCTCACCTAAAGGAGTTATCAGGCCGAGCGGGGCGCCAGAATGCAAAATCAGAGGGGGGTGATTTTCGGCGGCCGGTTGCGATGAAGGGGATCGGCCTTGCAAAACATTGACGAACCCTACCAGACAACTGACAGGCCTGACAACACGCCCAAACGCGCCGAAGGCACCTTGGCAGATTTGCCTTCGCACCTTCGAGTCCTGTTCATTTCCGAGGACCCTGTCATTATGAGCACCCAGGACCCCCTGTGGAATCTTACCTACGGCCTGGGGGCTGACGCCGCGAGAGACGTCGACAGAGAACACGTCAAGGCCGTGGTCAAAGAGCTGAATATGAGCGCCACCCTGAAGCTCCTCGAGAGTGCCGACGAGGTGGTGGGCAGTCGTAACGCGGGCTCCCCGCACAGCCGGGGTTCCCGGACCATGGTGCTCAGCCACAGGGAGCACCAGAGCGGTGGCGCGAAGTACATTCAGCTAGCGGAATCGGAAGTGAGTGAGAGGCAAAACGTCGAGGGCGATCTTGGCGAGGCCCGGACCGTTCTTTGCTGCGGGGAGGGGCAGGGGGACCAGGAGCCCGGCGAGAGGCCTTTCCCGGAGAACTGGCACGAGAGGCTCACATACACGGAGAAAGTAAAACTGAGCCTGGCGCGAGGTTTCATCATGAACCCGGAGATTTTAGTGTTGCACAGACCCTTGAAGCACATCGATTTCCATTCCGCTCATAGCTTGCTAGATGCGGTGGTGAGGCATACCAGGAACCGGGGCATCGGCCTGCCTGTGCGAGACATGAACAAGCGCCGCCCGCGGAGCGTCTTCTACGCGCCGGAGGGCTCGAATCAGACTGTGTGTGCGGACGTAGTCTGGCAAATCGATGGCCAGAGCAGAACGGTAACGGTTGTCGAAGATAAGCAACGAGTAAGTCTGGCTTTCCAAAAGATGGATTCGGGCTAGCGGTTGACAGCCGTTGTTGTCTGCTCACCAGTGGCCTCATATTTTTTCTTGGCACGATGCTCGTGTGTTGTGTCAAACGTGCATCTGCACGACTGAGCGCGTTGAAGGGTCCCAGGAAGTGGAAACCCCCTCCTGGACTGGACCAGCTGGCGGGCGACGTGCATGGCGGCAGCTGGGATGGCACTGCTGGCGCCCACTGCCATTCGCGAGGACTGCGACGCGCCGCCTGTGGGACGCCAGCCAGCCGCCGATCCCCCATGACGGTGCTCCACAGCGTCAGGAGGCAGTCGTCAGCATCATCACAGCATCGGGCCTATTGGAGGCATGGTTGAAGCCTGTTTGGGAGGCCTGCTGCCGTTCTGGAAGTCTTGGATCCGTGGGAGGGGCGTCTTGGGGCCGCGGATTTTTCCCACCCATCCTGTGGTGTTGGGTCTTCGTTTTGATTACGCAGCGCCCCGCGTCACTCATCACCTCTCTCCCCCTCCTCCCTCCCTGACTCCTCCCATCCCTGCCCCTGCCCTCCGCATGTTCGTTTTCAATACGCAGCGCCTCGCGTCACTCGTTGCGTTGCGTTGCGTTGCGCCCGATCGAACAAGTCGGCCCTGTGCAGAGCTCGGGAGAAAGAACAAACATGCGCCGTCAGAGCTGCACGTCGTCAAACCAACGACGCCGCGGCCGGCCTCTGGCACGATGCGGCCGGCTGTTGTTCAGCGCCGCACATGCAGTAGGGGACCATTCGTGCGCTAGTTTAGGCAGCGACGGAGCATGGTGGGACATCAGACGACTCAGTGAATGCTTCTTGCGCTTTGATACAACCGAAGACCAATCTGCAATGTAGTGCAGGCGCCTGGCAGATTCGAGCCTCTGCTTCATTCTGCGGCCAGCATCTTCCCACGAATCGCTATCGTCGAACTCCCAGCCGACGATTCGCCGGAGCATTTTCCTCTGCGTAATGTCTCGGTGGTCCAGGTGCTTCTGATCCAACGCACAAGTTTCCAGCCCGTATACCAACGTAGGTGTAACGGTCACGTTGAAGAGCTTCAGACGCAGCTTGACGTTGACGTGCCTATTCGTTAGCGAAGTTTGCAGAGAACGGAATTTCAACCATGCACAGCAAACGCGATGGTCGATAGCAGCCTGTCCGCGTTGTCGGAGGTTACCCGGCCACGCCCTCCCGAGGTATTTGTGGGTTCTGTTAGCAGCCACAAGCTCCACGAACCCATCGGCAGTTTCGATCAGAACAGTGTCATACTCCGTGGCCGTCGTCGACAACATTTTCGTTTTCTTCACGTTGAGCTCCAGACCATACTTGCGAAGCGTCTGCGAGAGCATGTCTAGCATGTCCACAGCCCCTTCCATACTGCTGGCGAATAGTAACAGATCGTCTGCAAAACGAATGTTCGACAGACGCTCCTTGCTTCCGTCCGAACAGACAGCCAGGCCATGGCCGTTCAGCGTCGCCTTCCACTCGCGGATAGCAGCTTCCAGGACACAGTTGAACAGGAGCGGAGATAGTACGTCGCCCTGCCTGACGCCCCGGGTGATAGGAAACCGGAAATCATTACCCAAGACACCTGTTTGAGATTTGTACAGCGTTCGCAATATTTGGCAATATCCAGAGGGGAGTCCCTGCGCTTGGAGAGCGCGGAACAGTGCCGGCTGTTCAACCCTGTCAAATGCTTTGCGCAGATCTACGCTGACCAGCCACAGGTCTTCGTTGAACTCGAGGCTCTTGCTCACGAGGCTTTCGGCAACAATCAGAGCGTCAGCAGTCGACCGGTCTCGTTGATAACCAAAATGCTCTTCAGATTGTTGCGAATCTAGAATGCCGCGTATCCTGTGGAAGACCACTCGAGCAAGGATCTTGTAAGAGACGCTGAGAATCGCGAACGGCCTCCAATTGCTCGGGTCTGCGGCGCCCCCGCCCTTGTGCAAAAGTTTGAAGAAGGTCTCTCGCCAGTCAGCCGGAACGCAACCGTTCTGCAAAATTGCATTGAACATGTCAGACAAGTAGTGCAACATATCGTCTCCGCCAAAGAGGAACATCTCCAGCAACACGCCCTTCGTGTCAGCAGCTTTGCGTCGTCTCATCGCTTCGACTGCCTTCACAACTTCTTCGACAGTAACGGCTGGTACCTGGTCCTCGTCATGTTCACCCGCGTCGGGCGGCACGCTGGACGTGTATATCTCCGACAACAGGTCGGCACATTTGCGAAAATCTGGACCCTGTTGCGAAGATCTTGTGATAGGGAATCTGTGCAGCGCGTCCAGGCGACGAAGATCACTGAAGCTAGCGAGCACCTCAGTTGTTCTGGCTGTCTGTCGTGCACGAGACTCTTTCCGGCTCAGCCTCCAGATCTCCTTTGAGGTATCTCGTCTCTCGGCCGGGTTGGTCATGCATCTCCTCCTTCTTCGCAGACGGTCCAGATGGCTGCTCCCGTTGCTCTGCTGGGCGGGCAACCGGGGCCGCTGCGACTCTCCAGCTGCAAGAAGAGCGATGCGCTCCACGTCGCCCAGAAATGCCGGAGGGAACTCCGGAGCAGCGATCTTCTGGGGCACCTCGGTGGCATACATCTCCCAATCAATGTCTTTGTGCGTCTGCCGGCGCTTCCGTCGACTCCTCTGCCCAGTCAACGACGGAGCTTGAAGGCACACCTGCACCGCCCTGTGATCTGAACCGAGGTCAAGCATGTTTGTCGGCTTTGCATTGTGGAAAGATGCGCAACTGCTGACCATGACGTAATCCAGGCGGCGGAGTCGTCCGAGGCAGCTGCGGAAAGTCCACTGACACTTTAGAAGCTCATCCTCGACTGCGTTGCAAATCACAAGATCCAGCTCGGCAGCGAAAGCTGATAATATTGCACTTCTCCTGCCTCTTCCAACCTCGGTATGGAAATCTCCGCCCAACACGCACCGGTAGTTCTGACTCTGGGCTTCGAGAACAGCAAAACGAATATCGCTTAAACAGTCTATGAGATCGTCGTGCGGGTAACCGGCGTGCGGAACGTAGACGGCTATCCATCTGTAGGTGTACCTCCCAATACGTATGTCGCAATGTAGAACTCTGCCCGAAACGGCTTTGTAGTCGAGAACTTTGTCGACCCAGCGGGCGTGGATGAGCAAAGCTACTCCGGCAAATTTCTGTCCACATAAGCTGCTTGACAGTCTGTGTCCCCCTTGCAACAGGACATCCCTATCTGCGGCCCTAGCTTCGCTAAAGCAGATGCAGTCCCAAACGAATTCTCCGCACTCTGCGAAAACCTCTGCAAGTTTGTTATCGCCGTTTAAGCGGGCACTCTTGCAGAACATCCAGAGCGATTGCTCCTGCACGCAGGCATTGTTGTTCGACCGGGCTGCCTCGTAATGCTTCCGCTTCCCTTTGCCAACGCCTTTGGTTGGAGGGGCCCCTTTTGCCAGCTTCGCATCGGACTCAAGGCGCAGCTTGTCCAAATCCTCGCACGAAATTTCTTTCCATTCATCGGTGGTGAACGTAACGACGAGCTTGGCACCATAAACTTTTGAAGACAAGACTGAATCGAAACCAACTTTCACACACTGAATCCAAATCTGCCCACACAGACTTGCGGTCGTATCCCCACTCAGTCATCATGCGCTTGACGCTGAAAAGAAACCACTGGTTCACACGTACATCCAAAGGAAGATCTGGTTTGGCCCAGACCTTGTGGGAGCCGTGCTGGATGCTTGCCTCCTTGAGGGTCTTCACTGCGATGTCCCGGTCGACTTTACAAGTAAACTTCAAGAAGAGGATGCCGTTGAACTCGCCCTTGACGTAGTGGTCAACAGGATAAGGTGCCCACTTGCTCCAAAGAGCGTCACCGACCAACTTGAAGGCGTCGTCGGTGTTTCCACAGTCTTTCAGGCCGCCGACGACGGCAGTAAGAGAACGTGAATTGTCCACTGATGGGGTCGCTGTCGGCATGGACGTTGCAAGTTTGAAGTTCGCGAGCTCGTCCTCCAATGACTTGATGTGTTCCCAGACTTCTTCCTCCGTCTGGGACCCTGCGCCAGAGCCCCTCGAGTCGGTGGACATTGCATTCTCGATGCTCGTGATGCGGATTTCGATGTCCTCAACACGAGTCCCTGTGGATGCCATTCTCGACTCAAGCGAACCTCCCAAATCCGACACTGCCCGCTCCAAACCCAAAATTGAATTTTGAAGGGGCTGGATCTGTTGTTTCATGATTTCCGCAGGTTGGGACAAGGTAGGCTGAGATGCTCCTGAGGAACGTTCCTCTGCCAATGCCTCGGGCGGGGTACCTGGAGCTGCCGGTGTAGATATCTGCGCCTCCACCAGACGTGGCGGAGAGAGATCCAGGCCGTCCATTTCGTGAAGTGGACTGAAAAGGCGTTGCCGGACTTCACGTTCGCCTAGCACTCCACGCACTGGGGTGCCTGGCTGCCGCGTGCTCGCCGGCATGGCAGGCGTCGATCCGCAATGGGTAGAGAAGAGAGAAACAGATGATAGGGCAAACGGTAGGATGTGAGGGAAAAGTGAAGTAAGGGTATCGGATGTGAGCCTTGAGCCAGATTCTTGAGCCATATCACTATCCCTTTCCTCGCGTCACTCATCACCTCCCTATCCTTCCTCCCTCCCTCCCTCCTCCCATCCCTGCCCCTGCCCTTCGAATGTCCGTGTCGGCACTCATGGGGAACTCCACCGAAGGCCCCAGTGGCTGCGTTTGCATGGCACCACTGCACCACATCCAGCACATCCCTCGCACGCTTCGTGGCCCCCCAAAGAGCTCCGCACACAGCAGTACCCACAGCGCAGTATTCAAAACTGCATGTGGCTGTGTCGTTGGCCAGGATCGCTCTTGATGGGGGGCGCTCTGAGCTCTCTTCGGGCCGTCTGAAGTCAGCCTTGTGCCATCTCGGGGCTGTCTCGGGGAGGCGTTGCGCAAATTCGGAGGGGCCGCTCGGGGCCGTCCTGGGATCCCTTCTGGGCTTTTGGGACCCCATCTTGAAAATTATTTCGGGGAATGACCCAACCACATGCTGCTGTGAGTTCCGCATTGTGAGTGCAGTTCTCGGTGGAGCGCCCGTTTGGGCCACGACGCGTGTGAGGGGTGTGCCGAATGGGTGCGGTGGTGCCCTGCGAACGTAGCCATTAGGGCCTTCGGTGGAGCCCCATATGGGGCCACGTGGCGTGTAAGAGGTGTGCTGGAACGGATGCGGCGCCGCCATGCGAGCGCAGCCGCTGGGGCGTTCGGTGGACTTCCTAATGGGGCCTCACAACGTGTGAGGGTGTGCCGGAATGAGTGCGGCGGTGCCATGCGAACGCATTGGGGCCATCGGTAGAGCTCCCAGAGCTCCCACAGTGCCACGAAACGTGTGAGTGGTGTGCCGAATTTGGCGCGGCGGTGCCATTGGAGCCTTCGGCTGGGCTCCTTATGGGGCCATGAAGCGTGTGATGGGTGCGTCGAAATGGGCGTGGCGGTGCCATGCGAACGCAGCCACTAGGGCGTTCGAAGGAGCTCCCTATGGGGCCACGAAGCGTGTAAGGGGTGTGCCGACATGGGCGCGGCGGTGCCATGCGAACGCAGCCACTGGGGCCTTCGAAGGAGCTCCGTATTGGGCCAGGAAGCGTGCGAGGGATGTGCCGAATTTGGCGCGGCGGTGCCATGCGAACGCAGTCGCTGGAGCCTTCGGTGGAGTTCCGTATGGGGCCACACAACGTGTGATGGGTGTGCCGCAAGGGGTGCGGCCGTGCCATGCGAACGCAGACTCTGGACCTTGTGGGCCAGGGCCATGAAACGTGTGAGGGGTGTGCCAAACATGGGCGCGGCGGTGCCGTGCGAACGCCGCCCACTGGGGCCTTCCGTGGAGCTCACGGGGCCCCGAAACGTGTGATTGGTGTGCTGGAACGGGTGCGGCGGTGCCACGCGGACGCAGCCACGAGGGCCTTGCGGTGGAGCTCCTTGTGGAGCCACGGAACGCGTGAAGGGTGATGTGCCGAAAGGTGTGCGGCGATGCCATGCGAACGCAACAGTTGGAGCCGTCGGTGGAGCTCCCTATGGGGCCACGTAACGTGGGACGGGTGTGCCGGAATGGGCGCGGCGGTGCCATGCGAATGTTGCCACTGGATCACCCATACCTGCATCTGCTTCAAGCAGATGCAGGTATGGGTGGAGCGAGGACAGTGAGGATGATAATAGAGTAGGAGAGGAGGACACAGGGGCGATGTCTTTCAAAATGAGGACCCCACACCACAGGACGGTTGGAAATTATCCGCGCGAAGGACCCAACCATATTCACGTGTGAACACAGCAGGGCAGCTGGAACAGAGGTAGGGTGACGAAGCGTGTGAGCGGTGTGCCGAAATGGGCGAGGCGAGGTGACGCCATGCGGGCGCTGTCACTGGGGCCTTCGGTTGAGCTCCCTATGGTGTCACGACAAGTGTGAGCGGTGTGCCGAAATGTACAGGGCGACGCTATGCGGGCGCTGCCATTGCGGCGTTAGCTGGAGCTCCTTATGGGGCTAGGATGCGTGTAAGGGGTGTGCCGAAACAAGGCGGCGGGGCCGTACGAGGCGGCGGGGCCATGATAACCCTGGCATTTGGGCATTGGCTGGGGCCCCAAAGGGGGCCACGACACGTGTGGCGGGTGTACCGAAACGAGGCGGCGGGGCCATACGAACCCTGGCACTTGGACCTTAGATGGAGCCCCATATGGGGCACAACGTGTGAATGGTGTGCCGGCACTAGGCGGTGGGGCCTTGCGAACCCGCGCATTTGCGCGTTGGTTGGGGCTCCGCATGGGGCCACGAAACGTGTGAGGGGTGTGCCGACACGCGGCGGCGGGGCTCTGCGAACCCTTGCACTTGTACGTGTGTTGGTGCTCCGTATGGGGCCAGGAAACGTGTGAGGGATGTGCCGAGACGAGGCGGCGGAGTATGCGAACCCTGGCAGTTGGGCCTTAGTTGGAGCTCTTCATGGGGCCACGAAACGTGTAAGGGGGGTGCCGAATTGGACATGCGGAGGGCAGAGCTTTGGATTGGAGGAGGGAGGAGGGAGGAGGAAGGAGGGGGGGAGAGGAGAGGAGGAGGACGCGGGGCACTGTCTCTTTAAGACGAGGATCCATCACTACAGGATGGTTAGGACAAACAGGACATCGCATGTCTGGTAAGTCCCCTGGGCCACCGTCGACCCGAAAGTCCTTGCGCTTCAGTGCAGCAGCCAACCCTTTGCCTGGGATCCGCGACCTGTCAGCTCTCAGCATCCTCCTTCTTACGCCCTTCTCTCCTCGTCTCGTCTCTTCTCTTCTCTTCTCTTCCCCTCCTGCTCCTTCTGCTCCTCCTCACTCCTTCTTCTTGCGCTCGTCTCCTCCTCCCTCCTCCCCTGCCTTTCCCCCTCCCCGTCTGCACTGCTGTGTATCCGCCACCCTCTCTTCCGAACGACGCGCCCAGTGCAATTCTGATTGCCACCCCCAGCCGCTGGGCTTCAGCAGCGCCAGGCTGGTCTTGAGGCGGTCTAGAGGCCGTCGTTTTTTGTTTTCCTCAGGAGGCCTCTTGGACCGTTGGGGCGCTGCCTAGGGCGCCCGCAAACCATCGGAAAACCAATAGTCGAAGTCGCCGAACCTTGTTGAGTCTTATTGCTGCTGGGGTGCTCGTGAGGCAGAGAGGGGGCTTCCTCGGGCAGTCGTGGGGATCGACCTGGGCCGTTCGTTCTTGCGCAGTGTTGGCTTCACATTGGGTCGGTTTCCCGCTGCATTGGGACACAACTGGGGCTCGCCTTGAGCGATTGGGCGGCGATGTGGATGCAGGCATGGCATGGGCAGCTCCTTCCAGAAGCCTGAGGCCCTGTACCGTGAGCGGTGCAATTTGGAGCAGCATCAGATCTGTCAGTGTCATCACATGGTGCAGAGACCTAAAGATGGTACAAGGCCTGCCGTGTACCAGCTTCACCTGTTCAAAAAGTACAGCATCTCCTTTGAAACTCGCAGTCGCAGTGCAGAATTTGTTGGCAGTTCCCTCATCACGCTCGTCTCCATTGTCTCTGTTGCCTTCCGCATAAATATATGTATATATGCTCTGTCCGTGGCATATGTTGCTTTGGTCTCGAGGGCGACCGTTCCGTGCCATTGCTGTTTTGGCTCTGTAGTTACAAAGGTCAGTCCGCGCGCGGGATGGATGGTGCACCGGCTCGACGTGGGTACCAGCCTGGCCGTGGGCTACCTCGGCAGGTGCCCGCCGCAACCAGCGTGCCCGCCGTGCCTGGCCTGCTCGCTGAGCTGCGCCTCGCTGGCTTGCCCGGCGGCGCCTCCGTGCCCGGCTTGCCTGGCGGCCGCCTTCCAGGCGCCCGCGGCGGCCGAGCCTGCGCTGGCCGCAGCTCCGCCGCTCCAGGCGGGAACGGCGTGCGCGGCGTGCGTGGAGGCCCCCTGCGTCTGCTGAGGCTGGGCCTGGCTCGTGATCGGCATCGCGTGCGGAGTGTTCCTCACGCTCGCGGTTCAGGCGTGCGCGCGCATGACTCAGAGGATCGTCTCGTCGGCGACTCAAGGCAAGGGCTCTGGCAAGGGCAGCAGCCAGGCGTTGGTCGACAACACCGACGCCAGCGACGACGTGGCTACACCATGGTTTGTGAGGAGGCGAAATGGCGGGTCGAACGCTTGACGTTCCAGAACGACAGATATTAATTGATTATTTCGACGACCGAACGGGTTCAGATGGCACATGAGAGTATTGATTCTGGCGACGCCCAATCCTTGCCAGTGGATTGTGTGCACGCCAGATCTGAGCATACAATTCTCGGACGCGACCACTTAGCGGGTGATCCCGTTCACCCGCGATTCGGAATTCCCGCAGCGGGTGCGAGGCGAGGTCTACGGCCCCGACCCGCTGTCTGCCGAGGAGCTCGTGCAGATACGCCGCGAGGCCAAGGATTTGCTCGCAGTGCACGGGCTCACCGGTGCCGCCGATGCGCAACCCGAGGGCGGGAGGTGGCTCATCGCGGACACCGCGCACCCGGGCTTCGGCGACCTTTTGCCGCAGGCCGCGCTTGGGGATCCCGATCCGCTCGTGATTCGCGAGGACTCGGGTCTGGCGTACATCGACGAGGGGCGGGTCGCCGTGCAGCGCGTGGCCGACGAGGACGTAGAGACCTGGCGCCTGAAGAAGGCTTCTGGCGCTGGGCACAGGCGGGCGCTGGGGGACGAGCGCATCAACGGCGTGCTGGTGCTCGCCCTGGCGGCCGCCGCCAAGATCAGGAAGCGGGCTGCCCGACCAGGCTGGCCTTTCCAAGGCGTCGCATCGGCCCCGGAGCTGGCGATGGCGCTGGCGGCGGCAGGCATCGCGTTCGTCACCCACCTCGACTGGGGGACCAAGTCGGGACTCAGCGGGGCGTCGGGCGTGTGCCGCGCGCATCGGCGGATCTGCGAGGGCCTCGACCATTCGATCTGCTACGACCAGCTCGACTACGCCAAATGCGCCGCGGTCGAGCACCTGGCCCGAAGGCGCCGGACTTCACCAACATGGGCGGCATCTTCGCAGCGCCGATGGCGGGCGACGGGCGCGCGCAGCTACCTGGGTTCGCGAAGTGGGCGTCGACGCTGCGCCGCGACGAGGCGCAGATCATGAAGCAGGAGCGCCTCTACAACGAGGAGGTGGACAACTCCCGCAAGGCTGCCAAGGGCGACTGCAAGACTGGCAAGTCTGGCAAGGCCGGCAAGGCCGGCAAATCGCCCGATGGCGGCGAAGGCTAGGGGCCCTCGGCCCCGGGGCTCCCAGGTCCATGGAGCAGGACCCTCAGCGACGCCTGCCCCAACAACGCCAGCTGCCTGGGCGCCCCGTCCGTCGCTTTCCTCGGCCCGCTGTTGACCCGGCCGAGGACTGCCGCGCCATTCAGGGGCGCTGTCACGGTGACCCTTCCCCCTTCCCGATGTCCGCGGAGGTGCTCGCGCGCGGCGGCCGTGCCGGGCCAGCCGCGCGGTCGCGAGTGCGATGCGTGCGCGAGGCGATTTGGGCAGTGAACGCCCTCGACGCCACGTCGCGCGCCGCCAGGGCGCACCAGCCATCCTCGGGCCGACGTCTCTCGGAGGCGCAGCGCTCGACCATTCGGCGCGTTAGCCGGCGCGTCGAGAACTGCAGCGAGCGCCCGGACATGACTGCGCCCGACGCCTTCGCAGCTCTGATCAAGAGCTGGGACATTTCTTCGGGCCTGCCGCTCAACCACAAGCCCTACGACCCTGGCCTTCTCAAAGTGTTGCGCCGAGACCGCCGGCCCCGGGAACTTCGAGGCTGTCTTGGGCCAGGAGGCCGTTGTTACCTTGACCGGGCCGATGACCTGATCTTCCGCTCCGAGGCCGAGCCCGACGCTCTCCAAGACCGCGAGCTCATTCAGCCGATCACGCCTTACTGGGGCCCCGCGCCCCGGCGCAATCGGAAGGCCCGCGTCGATTTCATCGAGCGCCTGCGCGCCGTCGGGTTGGCGGGCTTCAGGCTTGCCATGCGCGGCCGCATTGGCGCCTTCTGCGCGGGCAAGAAGGGCGGGCCCCTGAGGCCAGCGCTGGGCGGGCGCGAGCCTTCGTCGCTCCACCGGCGCCCGCCCCACGCGGCCCTGGGCTCGGCGGGCGCGCTCGCTGGCCTTGACTTGTCCGCCAGGCCCTCTCCGCCGCCGGCGTCGACCCAGCATCGGCCGACATCCGCGCCGCAGGCCTCGACCTGAAGGCGGGTTCTACCAGTTCGCCAACGACTACATCGCGGACTGGTTCGGGCTCGATTTCCCGGAGCCCGCCGAGGTCTGCGGCAGCCCGCTCGCGTGCCAGCCTTCGGGCGGCCGGCTGACACGAGGATCTTCGCGGTCTTCCGAGCCCGATGATGGGGTGGTCCTGGTCTCTCTTTTGCTGCCAGGACCTGCTTGAGGAGGCTCAGGGCAAGGGGCTGCTGGCGGTCGGCTGCGCGGCGACCGATCGCCTCGTTCACGAGCGCTGCCCGGCCCCTCTCCTTGCCCCAGGCCCCCCGCTCGTGTAGCCGTACGTAGACAACGCCGACGTGATCGGCATCAGCTTCAGCGACGCCCCGGGCGCGCCCACGGGCACCCAGCGCGCGCTCGACTTCCTCGGCATATAGACTACACCACTTCCTCGTCGAGCCCACGAATTCCACGGCCGGGGTCGCGCTCGACGGAACCACCCGCCGCCTGCGCCACACTTTGGGCTGGAGCACCGGCTGCAGGCCCGGCGGTCGACAGGGCGGGCGCTGCGCGTGGTCTACGGCCACCCGGTCAACCACTAGCGCATGATCCCGAGGCCGGCGCTCGCGGCCCTCGAGGAGGGCTACAGGTTCATCGCGCGGCACCTCGACGACAACGCCCACGTCGGCACGCGGCTTTCGGATGAGCTCCGGGCTGTGACGGACCCCGTGCTCCTCGCCGACATTGACCCGGCTGCCCCCTGGTCGTGCGTCGCCCACTGCAGCGACGCCTCGGGGGGCTACGCCCTCCGCGAGGCCGCCCTCAGCGACGCCGAGGTCACGCAGGCCTTCCGCTTCAAGGAACGCTGGAGGGTCAGGATGTCATGGCGGGCGTTCGGGGGGGGCGGCCGCATCGACCCCGCAGGCCGCGCCCCTGCAGCACGGCGTCGAGCCTCGCAGCCGGGCAGGCCGCAGCCAGGGCAGCGCGCGCAGGGGCTTTCTCCAGGGGGAGGCCCCCGCGGCCCGGCGAGTCAGCCCGCCCGGCGCCCGAGGAATTGGTTGCGACCTCAGAACAGAGTTCAGCCCCTGCGCAGGGCGAGGTGGCATCGAAATTTGGCCAGGCGCCGCTGGGCCGCCCAGGCAGCCTGCCGCGCGCGAGCCCCTCGCGCGAATTGCTTGTGACCTCAGAAAAGAGCCCAGCCCCTGCACGGGGCGAGGCTGCGCCGGAATTGTTTACGCTTCGCGAGCCCCCACCGGCCCATCCAAAAGCAGCTGCTCGAAAAAGGTGCGCTGACCGTAGGGCGTTTTCTCTTCCTCCTCCTTCTCTTTAGTTTCTTTCTTCCATCCTCCTCTCCTTCTCCTCGTCCTCGTTGCCCCCTCTCTTCGTCCTCCTCCTCCTTGGCGTTGCCGTGCGATCTTGGGGTCTCTCGGGGTCTCAGGGAGTCGTGGTCCTGGGGCTCTCTTGGGGCTCCTCTGGGAGTCTTGAAACCTTCTCGGGGCTCTCCCTGGGAGTTTGGGAGGTCTCTTGGAGCCATCTTGGAGGCCATCGGGCAAAGAAGGAGAGAGCATTTATTGGTGTACCCCCGTCGGGGCCCGAAATATCGCCTCTTGGTGCCCTCTCGGGCCGCTCTCGGGCGCCTGTCGGGCGCTCTTGGGGCCGTCTTGGGGCCCTCTTGGGCCGTATTGGCCGCCTCTTGGGCCGTCTTGGGGCCCTGTTGGGCCGTCTTGGGGCCGTCTTGGGAGCCTCTTGGGCCGTCTTGGCGCGGTCTTGCGGGCCTTTTGGGCTGTCTTGGAGCGTCGGGAAGCCGAAAGGGCGGGAACGCTAAAATGTCTGAAATACATCAGGAAAGCATGTGATCTTGGCTTCGTGGGGCCCTCTTAGGGTGCTTCTCGGGGCTCTCTTGGAGCGTTTTGGGGGCCTCTTGGGCCGTCTTGGCCTCTCGGGGGCGTCCTTGGGAGGTTCCGCGGCCATTTGGAGCCGTCTTGGGGCGGTCTTGGAGCTTCTTGGGGCTGTCTTGGGCCGGTCTTGGGCGCCTCTTGGGAGCTCTTGGGGCCGTCTTGGGGCCCTCTTGGGCCGCGTTGGCCGCCGCTTGGGCCGTCTTGGGGCCCTTTTGGGCCGTCCTGGAGCCGTCTTGGGAGCCCCTTAAGCCGTCTTGGGGCGGTATTGCATGCCTTTTGGGCTGTCTTGGAGCGTCGGGGAGCCGAACGGGCGGGAACATTAAAATGTTTGAAACGCCTACGGGAAATCAATGGTTTTGGCTTCTTGGGGCCCTCTTAGGGCGCCTCTCGGGGCTCTCTTGGAGCGCATTGGAGACCTTGGGCCGTCTTAGCTCCTCGGGGGCGTCCTCGGGAGGCTCCGTGGCCACTTGGGGCCGTGCTGCGGCGGTCTTGGAGCCGCTCGGGGCTCTCTTGGGCCGCTCTCGGGCGCCACTTGGGCGCTCTTGGGGCCGTCTTGGGGCCCTCTTGGGCCGTGCTGGCCGCTGCTTGGGCCGTCTCGGGGTCCTCTTGGGCCGTCTTGGGGCCGTCTTGGGAGCGCTGTTGGGAGCCTTGGGAGCGCTCTTGGGGCCATCTTGCAGGAGATCTCCCCCCCCCTCCCCCTGGGGCCACGATCCCTGTGGGGGGTGTCAAAAAATGAGCCTCCCAGGGACCGACAAAGGACGCCTCGGCGACCCGCGCCCCCCCCTCCCCAGGCCTAGGGGTAGGGGGTAGGGGGAGGGGTCAAGCTATTCAGCTCGAGCGAGTCAAGCATGGCATGCCCATTCCCACCCGCCCTCCCACAACATAAGAAACAGCGGTGGCACAACTGGGGGCTGCGCGGGCATTTAAGTGCGAGTGGAGGATACCCCAGGACACCGCATTGACGTCCGCGCGGGATGTTCGCCGCGTCCCACCCCCGCCACGCATTTCGCATCGTCGACGACAAGACTGGCCACGTTGAAAGGAACAACGGGCACGTTCCGCCCTCCCACAACATAAGAAACAATGCTGGCGCAACTGGGTGCTGGCGCGTAGTGGCAGTAGTAGTAGTAGTAGTAGTAGTAGTAGTAGT